ACTTAATAATAACGGGAAACCAAAAATGATTGAATATTACAACACAAAAATGGGAGGAGTAGATCTAGCTGATCAGCTTGTCAGCGCATATGTCGATGATAGAAAAACTATGAAAGTATGGAAAAAAATTGTATTCAATCTACTACAAAGAATGGTAACAAATGCTTATATACTTTATAAACAAAATAGTGATGCACCACGTCTCTCGAGGTTATCATTTCTGCAAAGTATAATTGAGGATCTCGCACAAGAGCATCTTTTATCACGTCAGCAAAGACTCCCTAATCATGAAATAAATAATGCGCGCATACGACTCCGTAAGGTCCCCGACGGAAAGGAAAAAGATTGTAGCGGTTATTCAGACAGAAACGGGTGGAATGGGAGAAAGAGAACGAGAACTGTTTGTGTTAGATGTGGAAATGGACTTCATAAAAAATGCAAACATAATCATGTATGTGTGGAAGAATAATGAATGTATCTAAAATTGTGAAATCTATCTATTTATTCGCCATGTATATGCTAATGACTTACCCCCCACCCACCCACACACAAAAAAAATCCAAAACAAAAACAGAATCTGTCTGCACTATGTGCGAAAGAAAAAAAATCCAAACACCAAACTTATTGCAAAGCTGTACAAAACATTTGAGTCGTAAATAATATCATGCAAGTAAAAGAAACAAATGGACTATCGATAGACAAAAGTGTTTCTAAAGAATAGGAAATTGAATGGAAACGGGAAATGTGTATAATAATATAGTATCTGAACCAAAAATTAGCCATACGCTATTTTTGAAATGCAACGCCAAGTGGAAGTGGCAAGTGCGCTCTTAGGTGGCGGGAGATCGACGTCACAATTCTGTATTGATGACGGCGTTGGTAACGTCGCTAAAATAACATCGGCCTAAAATCGGCCCTCTGGCACTGAACGTAGTATGTACAGATCGGCCCAAAATCGGCCCTCTGGCATACAATGGGTTAATATTTTAAAAGTTTCCCACTTCGCACTTGTCTTAGCTGTGGGAAACGGGACTTTTCGGCCTTGGTCGATTCGGCCTTTGTCATTTCGGCCATGTACCACTTCGGCCATGCAATAAAAGTGGTTTCGGCCATAATTTTATTTTATATTAAAAGAGATTTAGTTGTATACATGGTATATATATACTCTCATTGATATACCTTTTATAACTTTAAAAATTACTTTATTGCACTTTTATAGTAATGGTGTTTTAAAAAAGGTTATGTAGATGGAATTTTAAAATGCACATTACTTCGTGGTTTTTAACCCTCATAAACAAATTATCCATTTTTAGGTTCTATTCTAAAAAAAAAGAAGATTGTACTTCTGGAAATCTATATGGTCACATGTTCGAGAGATGTTTTACAATGTCTGCACTAGTGTCAAGATGAGATCTAATACACTTGTTTTTTCTTTTTGATTCTTTTTGGTCTGCCTCCATAGGAGGCAACTGCCTACATGCCTCCACATGCAGTGTTCTTGAAATCTTTTTTTTCCTGGTGGTCATTAGGACCACCAAGACCAAAAGTCTAGTGGTCCTGTAATTTTTCCAGCCTATCATTTTGTTAATAATCTCTTCATTTTTTCACCTCTCTGTTGTCATTATGTTTTGTTTGCACTCTTTTAACACTGGGTTTAGCACCATCTTTGAACAAGATGGGCCATGCGGCAGCCATGATAACTTTTACGACTGGTTATTTTTCAAAAGTATTACCGTAATTTTGAGCTATGCTACAAAAGTTAAATTACAGTAGTTACCAGTTCAAAAACTATCTGAATACCAAAGAAACCGACGACTTGTTCTTTTCAAAAGTATTACTGTAATTTTGAGCTTTGCAATTAAAGTTTGTTTACATAAGTAACCAGTTCAAAAGCTATCTGAATACCGAAAAGATGTAAAATAAAAGTGAACAACCACCAAAATTTTGTTGGTCATCAGGACTCCCACTTCACATGCAATTGTCAGTCCTAGCCAATTTTTGACGGTCAGGACTGACGGGACCGTGGGTTTTTCGTGAACTCTGCACATGATCTCCACAAAATGACATAAGCAAACGAAATGGTGACAGTCTTCTTTTGTAATGATAAAATTAAATAACAAGTTGATTGGTTTATTATGAGACATGTATTTGTCAATCACTTAGACACTAATTTTATCACTTAGCTAATCCAATTATCTAATCAAATATACAAACGTATTCTTATTTTTTTATTCAACACATTGATTAGCACGGACATTAAGAAAAAAGGCATAATGGACAGAAACAATCAAGGACAAAGTGGTGTATAGCCGAAACTACATATAGCCGAACAGGCTTATGGCCGAAACGTCTCGAAAGCTTAGCTGTACATGTGGAATCGTAGCTCAAAATATTAGAAGGACCTAAGAGCTACAGTTCTGCAGCTACACTTGCCTAGATATGGCAAGAAATTAGTTCAATAATTTTTAAATATTGTTATTTATAACCAGTTACCAGTCAGAGCTCAGATGCAAATAAGTCGAATTTTGCTTTTGACTTGTACAGGTCTCTATTTGCATGTTTCATGAGTTCTTTCCCTTTATTTTAAAACAAACTATGACTTCAACAAGTCAATTAATGTTAAGCAAAAAATATTTTGGCCTTTATCAAAATGTTTGATAAATGACTTACAACTTTAAAGTTACCAAAATTAGTTAACTTCAAGACCCATGCACAAATATAAAAAGGTCAAGCATCTACATGAAATTGAGAAAACATTGTAAGGCAATGCTTTGTCTTTTGAAAAAAATATGGATTTGATTCTAAAAAAACGAAGACAATGTTCATTCACTCTCTGATGATACCGTTTATAACCATTAATGCTTTCCCAAACATTTCCTACATCACAATGCTTATTTTATTTATATGCCACAGTAAGAACCGATTGTTCAATGACGTCATTTACATTCATTTACCTTGGGTAAACTGGTGTAACTCATTCATAAAAAACAACTTAAGATTGGTGTATTCAAGCTGTAAAACTTGATATGTATTTGTTCATGCTGCTACTTCTGGTATGTATTTGACAGTATAAAAAAGTACCAAGTATGTCTTTTTGTCAAAAAATGACTAAAACTGCATGAACATTTCTGGATCCTTGGTCAACAGTATTTCACTCTGATGAATACATGTCTCAAGCTCTCTATCATTCCCTTTCCTGTCCCTGTTTTTAAACGCACGTTTACAGGAGTATTATGGTATACCGTTGACCGTCTGTCCGTCCATCCGTCGTCAACATGTCGAATATTAACTCAAAAAAGCTTTAACCAATATGCATGAAACTTTGGTGAATTGTTTATATCTATTGACGTGAGCTCCCTTTCGTATTTTATAAATTTCAGATTTACCGTTTCTGAGTTTTGGGGTTTTATTCATTAAAAAAGGGGGGATTTTCCAGTTTTCCGACAAAAACTCAAGAATGCTTTCACCAATTTGCAAGAAATTTTGGTGAATTGTTTATATCTATTGACATGAGCTCCCTTTGGATTTTTATGAATTTTAAGATTTTACTTTTCCGAGTTACAGGGTTTTATTCATAAAAAAAGGGTGATTTTCCGGTTTTCGGACAATAACTAAAAAATGCTTTCAGCAGTTCTCATGAAACTTTGGTGAATTGTTTATATCTGTTGATATACATGTAAGCTCCCTTTAGAATTTTATAAATTTTAGATTTTACATTTCTGAGTTATGGGTTTTTATTCATTAAAAAAGGGGGGATTTTCCAGTTTTTGGACAATCACTCAAAAATGCTTTCAGCAGTTCTCATGAAACTTTGGTGAATTATTTATAGCTATTGATGTAATCTCCCTATTGATTTTCATAAATTTCAAATATGACATTGAGAAGAAATTGAACTTTATTTGTTTATAGTCTGACAACAGATTTACTAAGTATTGCGCAGCAGCACAGTGTATTGCACAACAGCAAGAAATCTTTAATTGAATATAAATTCAATTCATATAACCAATTTCAAGTTCTTTGACTACATTTATTCAGAAACCTATAATATGTCAAATATTTAATTACAATCCAAATTCAGACCTGTATCAAGCTTGAATATTGTGTCCATTTTTGCCCCAACTGTTCAGGGTTGGACCTTTGCAGGCGTATCCAGCTGCGCTCAGCGAAGCAGTTTATTCTCTAAAGAAGAAAGGTCTCACCTAATTTGAAACTTGCATGTATTGCAAAAATTTGTAATAAGGCTTAAGGTTCATGTGGACCCTTTGGCTAATATGGCTGCGTTTTCACCCCAAAATTTACTCTTGAGTACAGACAAACCTGTGTATCTGGAAAATTTTAAGGAATAGCATGCCCTAGATTAATAAAATTCAAATGCGTTTTATGTTTTAGAAAATAAGAACTTAACTGGATTTTGCTGTGCACTTTTTTCCATCCCTGCAGAAGATGGTAAAATTAACAAACAGTCGAGTTTCACTTGATATTATCCACTCAGTGACACAGTTTAAATCACCAATTATAGTCAGGTATCTATTGTCCTTGTCAATAAATACAGTTCGCTTCAATTATTACCTGTGGGGAAGTTCTCAAACCTCTTTCCTAACTTTGTTTATTTTGGCACTTTCTGTAGGAACAAAAAAAAGTGCACTGCAAAATCCAGTTAAGTTTTTAATTTTCTAAAACATAAAATGCTTTTGAATTTTATTTATCTAGAGCATGCTATTATTATTGCTATGCTTTAAAACTTTTCCAGATACACAGGTTTGTCTGTACTCAGGGTAAATTTTGAGGTGAAAATGCAGCCATTCACTCTCTGATGATACCATTTATATAACCACTTATGCTTTCAGTCAAAGGGTCCACATGAACCTTAATCTTAGGTATCGATTTTGTTATGTTTTACAATTCATAATATCATGAATGTATCCCTACATGCAGCTATTTTTAACAGCTGAACATGTCCAGTGTTACTTTATATCATTGGTTTATCTTGTGTTTTTTAGGGTGCTCAAAAGGTGAGACTAGTTGCAGTAACAAAAACCAAACCAGTAGAAGACATTATTACAGCATATGAATGTGGTCAGAGGCATTTTGGTGAAAATTATGTATGTTTAACATTTACAAAGTATAAGGTCACCTAATAGGCCAGTTTGAAATATTATCTCTCAACTTGTCTTATGGTTTCATATTAAGATATAGTCAAAACCTATTCTCAGTTTCTTACCAAAGTTGATCTTTTTGAAAACAAATGCAGGATTAATGCATATTTTTCATGTTTTTTTCTTACAGATTATTGTAATACTCACCCAGTCACATTATTTGCATTAATAAAAACCTTGCAATAATTTCTGAATTTACAGAATATAAAACTGCCATATTAGGGAATGATGTCATTTTGTAATCCTAGATTACCATGTACTTAACTACATGTACATGAAGGTACTTTTATTTGTAGATCATTGAACTTGAAGAAAAAACAAGACATCCAAGAGTAAGTACTTTTATTTTAGTTTTCTGTCTGGTGATTCAATCTGTTTAACATGTTTAAGTCGGTATCAGTCAGACTCAAATGAGCCAGATTAAAAAAAAATGGACTCACTTTACTGTAAAAATAAGGAGATGTGGTATGACTGCCATTGAGACAACTATCCACCAAAGTTCAAGTGAATTGGATGTAAGCAATTATAGGCAACTGTATGGCTCCAACAATGAGAAAACACATACCGTTAAGTCAGCTATAGAAGGTCCTGACATGAAGAATATGAAACAATTCAATAGAAAAAATAAACGGCCTATAGCTAGTTCAAAGCAGGTTAAATCAACGTCTTATTAACATGTTATTGTTCTATATGTGCATGTAATATTTCTAGCAGCATGTTTAGCCATAAATCAGGGCATTACTTAAACAAGTGACTATTCAAAATTACCTGCCCTGTATACAAGTAATGTTGTAATTGAGACTATTTTAAATATTACTAGATTTCTTTTGTAAATATCATTTACATAGGTATCCATTCATACTGATTTATTACCATAAAATCAAGTAATTTTTCCTATGAAGCATAAACATTAATCCTCTTGAAAACTTAAGGCTCCGTGTGGAGGACTGTACTTTGACCTATAATGGTTTACTTTTATAAATTTTGACTTGGATGGAGAGTTGTCTCATTGGCACTCATACCACATCTTCTTATATCTATTAACTACAAAACTGACATCGCCATGGCAAAAAAAAGAAAAGGACAAAAAATACAAATTAACAGCAAAGAAAACGAAAGATTGAGCAACACGAACCCCACTAAAAACCGGGGTTGATCTCAGGTGTTCTGGAAGGGTAAGCAGATCCTGACCCACATGTGGCACACGTCATGTTGCTCATTTAAGTACAAACCAGCTGCAGGTGATAAGTTTAATTCTATAAGCTTTCTAATTTGACAATATGCCTATTTACATGTATCATATTTAAACCTGACTTGACCTCAAATGTGATACAATGTAATCATGGTAATCCTGACTTGAAATTGGTAAGTTATTTTTATTAATAAAAGGGCAATTGTTTTTCTTCAGATCCAAGACATATGCAGAGAAATTAAATGGCATTTCATTGGGCATTTACAAACCAATAAGGCCAAAAATCTAGCATGTAAGTTAAATTAAAAAATGAAAAAAAGAACACATGGTATTTTTATACTGCATGTTAACATGTCAGTTTTTTTTTTATACACCCATCTTAAAAGCCGGGACGTATTATGGTATACCATTGTCAACACTTTGGACAATAACTCAAAAAAGCTTTCATTAATTTTCATGCGACTTTTGTGAATTGTTTATATCTATTGACGTAAGCTCCCTTTCGATTTTTATGAATTTTTGATTTTACATTTCCAAGTTGTGGGATTTTATTCAATAAAAAATAGGTGATTTTCTAGTTTTCTGACTATAACTAAACAATGCTATGAGCAATTTTCATGAAACTTTGGTGAATAGTTTATATATATATATATATATATATTGACATAAGTTCCCTTTTTCTTATTTTATGTTTTGGAGTATTGGGTCTTTCCAGTTTTCTGACAATAACTCAAACACACTTTGAGCAGTTTTCATGAAACTTTGGTAACTTGTTTATATCTATTGAAATAATCTCCCTTTTGTTTTTTTTTTATAAATTTCTGATATACTTTTATTGTTTGTTAAAATGTTGTACTAACATACCCCATGTGGATGCTTTAGTGAAATAAAATGCCTTATGTCTTATGATATGACATTGTGGAGTTATGGAACTTCATTTGTGAAAAATTGTTTAAAACTGTCCATTTTTCACACTATAGACGGTTATTGAATTTTATTTAATCTGGATATCCTTGTTAGCAGCATAAAACAGTTTGTGTTTCTTTAAGATTTAAAATTACTTGGTCTGTTATATCTGATCCATAACTTTTATATCATGTATATGCCTTGATAGATATTGATGATACTTGGTAACATTGTTTATCACCAGAAGGTGTGTTGTGTTGATTGATTGATTGGTGATTGCTTTACGCCGCATCAGCACAAAAAGGCAGGTGTGTTGTGAACAAGATAGAAATGTATAGGTGAAAAATCAAGGCCACAAACTTATTTAAACTTGAGGTAGCCTCAATAGTGCCAAATTATTCGGATGACGCACGTATCATGCGCTCATGGCGCAGCTCTTTATTTATTGGTTAATATGAAGGAAACATTCTACTCTTATCACATGGCTCAGCAGGTAAAAATTTGCTATGTTACCCTTGCATATTAACCAATAACAAACATGATAATCATGCTAAACAAAAATAATTTAAAAGACAATAATTGTCATTAAGACATAGAAATACTTATTAAAATCACAACAGAAAAAGCAATAGAATATAGATGTATGTGTCTTTGAGGATTTATATTCTAGATCAAAAGTTATCCCACAGAAACCAAGTGACTATAGATGTACAATGACATTTACACAGCACCATCATGACAGGTATACAACAAAGAGAATTGAGGCTATATAATATAATAACAAAAAATATCTGGTACAATAAAATGTGAATCAATAGCATTTATACTAATATTTTTTCTTCATATCTTTTAAAGCTATTCCAAATCTGTATATGTGCGAAACTGTCCACTCTGAGAAGCTAGCAAAGAAGTTAAACAAAGAATTAGAAAAAGCAGGAAAAACAGAAAAGTTAAAAGTACTTGTTCAAGTCAATACAAGTAGAGAAGAAAGTAAGTTTTGTTCAATGAGGCAATAATTTTATCAGGTGATAAGACCGTGCAATTTTTTGCATATTATGAATTATCATGATATATATATACTTTGTTTCTCAATTTAGTTTCAGCACAAGAATAAATGTTTATTTTTTTGCAAAAGATAATTCCAAGATTAATTTGGATATAGCTTTCTAATGATATCCAATGCACTTTGATTTGCCAATAATTCAAAAGGATGAACCCATATAGTAATGCAGGATCGGGTGGTATTTTTATGGATTAAGACATGTCCTTAACCAATATCGGCTCTGGTATCAACCTGCTATTCCAATATCAGCCAGAGGGGCAATCCAAGGGCTCCTATGGGTGGAGGAAAAGAGTATGTCATGATCTATTTATCACATGTTTAACAAAATTAAAAAGTGGAAAAATTAGTCCCTTGCAAGAATCACATGTTTTTAGCTCACCTGGCCCAAAGGGTCAAGTGAGCTTTTCTCATCACTTGTCGTCTGTCGTCGTCCGTTAACTTTTACAAAAATCTTCTCCTCTGAAACTACTTGGCCAAATTTAACCAAACTTGGCCACAATCATCATTGGGGTATCTAGTTTAAAAAATGTGTCCGGTGACCCAGCTAACCAACCAAGATGGCCGCCATGGCTAAAAATAGAACATAGGAGTAAAATGTAGATTTTGGCTTATATCTCTGAAACCAAAGCATTTAGAGCAAATCTGACATCGGGTAAAATTGTTTATCAGGTCAAGATCTATCTGCCCTGAAATTTTCAGATGAATCAGACAACCCGTTGTTGGGTTGCTGCCCCTGAATTGTTAATTTTAAGGAAATTTTGACGTTTTTGGTTATTATTTTGAATATTATTAAAGATAGAGATAAACTGTATACAGCAATAATGTTCAGCAAAGAAAGATCTACAAATAAGTCAACTTGACCAAAATGGTCAGTTGACCCCTTAAGGAGTTATTGTCCTTTATAGTCAATTTTTAACCATTTTTCGTAAATTTTTGTAATATTTTACAAAAATCTTCTCCTCTGAAACTACTAAGACAAATTTAACCAAACTTGTCCACAATCATCATTAAGGTATCTAGTTTAAAAAATGTGTCCGATAACCCTGCCCGCGAACAAAGATGGCCGACATGGCTAAAAAATAGTACATAGGGTAAAATGCAGTTTTTGGCTCATATCTCTGAAATCAAAGCATTTAGAGCAAATCTGACGGGATAAAATTGTTCATTAGGTCAAGATCTATCTGCCCTGAAATTTTCAGACCAATCAGGCAACATGTTGTTGGGTTGCTGCCCCTGAATTGGTAATTTTAAGAAAATTTTGCAGCTTTTGGTTATTATCTTGAATATTATTATAGATAGAGATAAACTGTAAACAGCAATAATGTACAGCAAAGTAAGATCTATAAATAAGTCAACTTGACCAAAATTGTCAATTGACCCCTTAAGGAGTTATTGCCCTTTAAAGTCAATTTTTTACAATTTTCATAAATTGTAAATTTTTGTAAATTTTTACAAAATATTTTCCACTGTAACTACTGGGCCAAGTTCATTATAGATGGAGATAATTGTAAGCAGCAAGAATGTTCAGTAAAGAAAGATCTACAAACACATCACCATCACCAAAACACAATTTTGTCATGAATCCATCTGTGTCCTTTGTTTAATATGCACATACATAGACCAAGGTGAGAGACACAGGCTCTTTAGAGCCTCTAGTTTTATATTTTAGAGAAATATTTTCAGGTTAAGTTTTCCAACAGCTCCCAACTATAGGCCTTGAAAATAATAATGTCGATGTCATTTTTCGTTAAGTGTTTGTGTTCTTTTTTTGTTTAACAAATTTTGTTGTGTCATTTTGTGTAGAATTGACAAGACTCTTTTGTTGTTGTTTTTGATAAGGACCTTGGGATGACATCGAGATATCTGTTAAGGTTCTAGTTGTTTTTCTGTCTCATTTGTATATCCCACATCTCCTTTATGTATAGGGGCCACGGTGGCCGGTTGGTCTAAGTAGTCAATCTACTGTACCACTAGCCTATCAACACTGAGGTTGCGAGTTCGAATCCCCCACGTGGCACAAGCATCTTACTCGTCTGCCATTTTTGTTAGGAACGATATAAATTAATTGAAAGCAGTTTTAAGAGTAATCATATAAAATACTTCATTATGTAATGCTTAAGTCTCACATTTTGTATACCCTTACTCTAAGAGCTGTGGCCTATATACTGTTTGCAATATAATTTTTTTGTCCCTTCCTTTGTGTATCCTGTCTGAACAGAATTACTTCATATTTATTCAGCAATTTGACAGTGATGAATTGTAACTTGTGACCACTTTTCTGACTGCTTGATGACACATTATTCTATATATTGAATCCAAACAGATATGTTTGTCACACTTTTCTCAGGAACTATGTACAGAATGACCTCATATTTCGTCAGCAGCTTGAAACAACAATACATGTTACATCTTATTTTTTTCTCAACAACTAATTTTACATACATATATTAATGATCTCTGTGCTATTTTACAGATAAGAATGGTGTATCAACATCTAAGGTTACTGATCTAGTCAATCTTATCCGGACCAAATGTCCTGAGTTAGAATTTATAGGATTAATGACCATTGGTTCATTTGACCACAGTTTAGCTGATGGTGTCAACCCAGATTTTGTTGTAAGTCAATAACTGAACTTTCCTACCAGCAAATCTTTAAAAGTAAAATATTGGAATGTGAACTTAGTCAAACTCCACATGCTAAGCTTTAAAGGCCCACTGTTCTCAAAACCAAGGATTTTAAAATCTGAAGACCTTTAAGGCCAAGGTACGGTAAATAGACTATGTTATAGATTTTGGTAAAATTTGCATACAACTTTGGCACGTTAAACTGAAAATCGAAAGAAATCTCTTTCATTATCTGAAAAATTATTGAATGAACCTTTTCAAAATAGATATACATTTGTATAGAAAGCACACTAAATGGGTGTAAAACACCAAAGTGGTGTTCTAGATGAAAATATACCACAAAACCACAAAATAAGCATAATGTCATAGCATTGTAAGTCGTAAAATGTTGATTTTTGAAGTTTTTCAACACCAACTAGGTAACAGATTGATTAATATATCAAAAACAAGGTTGGTGACCTTATGATTGTTTTATATCAATCAAACAAACATTTATTTATGAACTACATATCAATTTTTAGGTAAATCTATGCATCAAGTATAGCTGGGTAATACAGAGTATGGAATGCCAAAAAGACTCCACTAATTGGGTTCCTATTAGGACATTGGTCCTCTTTTCATTATGGACACCACTCAGTGAATTAGATAAATTATTTTTAAGATATATTTCATATATTTGTGTTAAATGGTCACTAAAAATAAATCTAAAATCTTTTGTTTGGAAATAAAAACGAAGTCATAGAGATATATATTCTTTTAATTGGTTGGCTACACTTCCTAGACCAACACTTTTGGCTATCAAAACGTGTCTTTGTCATTCCCATTATATCATTTACGTCAGATTGGATATTTTCATTTGCAGGACTGTTAGTTATAATGTTGCAAAACCGACTCTCCCCCGTTCCCGTTATATAGTTGACAAGATATTTCTAAATATGAACAAATTCATCGCAACCTGCCCTCAGTGAATGATTAGTAACCTCTAATGATCACGCCTTTGAAAAAGTGTTTTCTTTACGATTACAAAATGTAACTGTTGTTTGATCTGGTTTTACTTTGTAATCATATATATTCAATAGGTATTTATCAAATTATTGATAAGATTATTGTTTACTTAATTAGTACATGTAATAAATGAGCTATTAATTATGACATATATCTTTACTACTAAAATAACAAGGTCCAATTTGTTAGCCGGCATGACGTAAAACGACGAATCAAAGAATTCAACTTTATATATAACTTATATAGGACAGTGGTGTTGATAAAAAATTACACCATTCCAGGCCCTTTTATTTTCCACATAATTAATATTACCAATAATTAACAAGTTCCAGGTCGAATCTGATACTGATACAAATACAAATGAAATAGTACATGTCACATGTAGTTTCCGGTTGTAGTTCTTGTTTATTCTTCCCTCTGCTATCTGGAGTACCACTACTATATTGTAGCAGGACAGGTTCAAACAGGAAGATTTTTAAAGCAGAGAAAACTGCACCTTATAATCAGCATGACTTTATCAAATGACAATACGAACATTCAAAATCCAGGCTAAAAATAAGGCGTAGGTACTTTAATTCAGTCATGGACCCGCGATGTCGTGTGTGTGTTCTAGTATTCTTGGACTATTATCTAATCCCAGATAATAATATCTATTAGACAACGACCTACAAAGCGCTAAATGTGCATAATTGTGTTCTCATTTTTTTAAATATTTTTATAGAGTGAGTACTATGGTATCACTAGGTACAACCGAAAGTACTTGATTAGTAATTTTCAGAGTTGACATTGCTGATAAATATTTACTTTTGGAGAAAAACCAATGGCTTGCAATAACAAATATTCACTTTTGGAGAAAATGGTTTGCAATAACAAATATTAATTACCCAATAGCTATCAAGACATCTTCATGTGCTAAAATTTACACTTAGAGAATTAACTGAAACCACTGTTTATTTCAGAAATTATTAAAATGTAGAGATGACGTTTGTAGAAGATGTAACCTGCAGGTAGAAGATGTAGAACTCAGTATGGGGATGTCACATGACTACGAACATGCTGTAAGTTTTTATTGGCAGTAATCTGATTAATCTGATAAGTATAGAGGGTTGTCATAAGGATCTGAAAAAATGTTCATGCCTTCAGTTATTGTATGTTACTAAAATTGCTTTAATGGAAAAAAAAAACAACAAAAAAACTCCATAATCAAATGCATTTATGACTACTTTACATGATATTTACATAAAAAGGCTGCTTCACAGTCAGATCAGTTACTGTAAATTCACAAATTATTGTGAGGTTTTTATTAATGCAAATAATACGAATGGAGGAGTATCACAATAATAAGAACTCACATTCTAATATCTGATACATATATCTGTATGAAGCTTTTCCTGAATCCGCAATAATTAATCATTCTTCAAAAATCGAAATAATAAATGCAAACAATAATATCTTAATTTACAGTACTTAAAAAATTCACATTGTTTACAAGGGGGGGACTCCTACTTTTAATCATCAATATGCTTTTTTCATACAGATTGAGCTAGGCAGTACCAATGTCAGAGTAGGGAGTACAATATTTGGAGCCAGAGATCCTCCTAAACAGTCACAGAACCAGGAAGTTGTACAAGAAAAAGTGGAGGAAAGCCAACCTCAGGAACCAAATGATTCACAACACATTACTAAGGCAACAGATCGGGAGGATGTTTTAGAGAATGAAACAGCAAGACTTCGGGAATTAGCTATCTAAATCAAATCTATTTTCTTGAAAAGGACTTATTTTAACTATTTTGAAAGATTGTTTGATACATGTCATGTTAAATCTTAGAACTGTTTTTTAGAAATATGCACATTGTTAGTTCAACTAAAAATTTTATCATATAAATTAATTTCTTAGGAAAAAAAATAAGTTTAACTCTTCAAGATAATAAGAGTAAATTCTGAATACATTGTATGATTTCACATAAGTTTTCAAAATTAAATCTTCAATATATCTGTATCAATCTTTAATCAGAGTATCTTTATAGGGCTGTTTTAAATTTAAACTCATGGGGGTTTGGAGGGACTCAAATTAATCAGTTTTAACATCCAGCAAATTATTTAATCACTTTTGTCATGCTATTATCAAATAACCAAGCTTTCAAAATTTAGTTTTCTTGAGTTATTTGCATATAGCTTATAAAATGTGACAAAACAAAAGGGAATTTTAAGGATGATTTTTTATTTTAAAATTTAGACAACAAATAGGCAACAAGGGTAACATAGTTTTAAATTCGTCATAAAGTATTTTTCATGTATAGGGCATATTTTAATTTAAATTATATTTTTACTTTAAAGAAAGTATTAATTTATGTAATAGATCTTATAATATTGTAGAGTCAACATTATAAACCAAAAGATATATGAATGAACTCAATACTTGTATATAGGTTGTCATTTCTGTTATACAGTTGAAGTTGTTATATCTGTTTTTTTCTGTTACAAGTGGTAAGATCCAAGTGCCATTTTGAAGTGCAGTTAAAGAAGCAGGTACTGTTTTTGTAGTGCAATTTAAAAATTTCTAAATTAGAAGTTTAATTTCAAATTATTTTGTTTTTCTGAATGACCAGCAAGTTCAATTCTCTAATGAAAAGTGTGAGAAGGATCATTCTGTTTTTCCCTATGTATTCCTGAAGGAACTATCAACAAACAGAACAATTTTAAAAACAAGATGAAGTCATTTAAAGTATTCATACAATACAGAGAATACTAAAGATTTCCTAGAATGTTGTACATAAGTATAGCATGAAAAGTTACATTCAACTATATATACACATTCTTCTCAAATATTTCCCAGTTTGCCAAGGATTCAAAAGTTTATGAAGTTATACATTCACACTTATATCTAGGAATTATATGTGAACGCCTGGGGTCTCTTAAAGCTTAGATTGTCTAATATTTCAAATTCTTTTAGTTCTAATACTTTAAAATGAAAAAAAGCAGTGAATGCTTGCAAGGGCATACACATACTGGAATTTTTTTTATAAAGATTTGCAATTGAAGTGTGAATATACTTTGTTAGTGTGTTAATAATTCAAAGTTTGCTGTTGTTTTAACTTTTTTTGATTAATGTTTTAATTCAACAATTTAACCTTGGTTTTTGTCATGCCTTTAACAACAGCAGGATAAACATAGGGGTTACTTTCAAGTTGACATAAAAATGACAAATACCTGTATATCTTGTCCTCTATCAGTGAGGCAAATCAACTTTTGCATGGAAGTATCTTGCTATAAAACCATGTCAGCCAATTATTGCCAATGAATTATGATCTCAGTTTTCATGCTTTTTCCACATTAAGTCTATACAGGAAAGGTCAACAGTACTCAAAAAAAATATTCGATGAAAGTACTATTTATGTATGTCCTTGTGACATCCGTCACATTTTTATCCTCCAGTATTTAGGTGAATTCTTTTGGTTTTTGTTGAACTATTGGACAGGTCAACAACAATTGGTATTTACATTTGTTACAAATATTTATGTTAACCTCGTTTAAAATTACTGTGTGCATTTTAAAGAATTTCACAAAAATTCCTCCATAAAAGTTGTATAAACAAAAGACAGCTGATAGTTTAAATGTGAATTCATTAATAGGAATAGCTCTCCATGTTGCATGTTATTTGACCTTAACTTAGAATAGAAGTTTATTTAATTATTGAAAATAAATATTTTTGTAAACAGGTGAGACATTTCATGTCAACTTGATACTGAGTGAATAATTTATTCTTATGAATATGTTTTCTACATGTTCTTAATATTTAAGATTTACATTAAGAATGTGATTTTTGTATTTTTGATGAACAATAAATCAGTTTTCACAAATATTGTTCAACCTCCAATCAATGCATAGTTACAAATAAACAGATTATTTGTTAAGTATTATTTGTTGGGTTTTGTTTTATTATTTACTTTATTAGTATAAGAAGGTATATAGATACAGTTGTGTTATGAACCTGGTTATATTTAGTGGTTGATGGGTGTGGCATCTCTAGTAATTAGATGAGTGAAGTAAGGCAAAGTTTCATTACTGTGCATATTTTATTGTTTCCCATAGCAACATGGTTTAGGGAATATAGAAATACTGGGAGTCTGTCCATGTCAGGTCTAATATATATTTGCATTGTAATTTACAAAATAAATGGCATTCACATCGGCAAAGTGTATTGCACAAAAGCAAAAAATTGAATATAAATTCAAATCATATAACAAATTCTAAGTTCTTTGACTCCAGTTATTCTGTGTCAGAAACCTTTTATGTGTCAAATATTTAATTACAATCCAAATTCAAACCTGTATCAAGCGCGAATATTGCGTCCATGTTCAGGGTTGGACCTCTGCGGTCTTATCCAGCTGCGCTCGGCGAAGCAATTTATTTATTTATTGTTTGACCTTTTGTCAATTCCTGGTGTTCTCAGGCTATATGGTAACATGGAGCTATCTGAATGGACTTCCTGTAATTCAGTAGTTGTCGTTTGTCGCTGTTTATCATATTTGTTTTTTGTTCATTATTTTGTACATAAATCTGGCTGTTAGTTTTCTCATTTGAATTGTTTTACATGTCATTTCTGGGTCTTTTATAGCTGACTGTGCGGATTGGTTTTACTTTTTGTTGAAGGCCGCATATGACCTATAGTTGTTAATTTCTGTGTCATTTGGTCTCTTGTGGAGAGTTGTCTCATTGGCAATCATATCACATCTTCTTATTTTTATATTCATGATAGAATAATTATAATGTATTATAATTGGGGTTCTTTAAATTTGGAAAAAGTATTATTTCTAAATAACATGAATAATGGCAACAACACATTTTGTTATACCAGGGCCTTTATAACTTACTATGCAGCATTAGTTTTGTTCATTGTTGAAGGTCATAAGTAACCTGGTATTTTTCACATCTTTTTCCTTTGTCCTTTAAATGGATAGTTGTCTAAATCATTATCCCACTAACATGAGAAAAAAGAATACAACTGCAATACACCTAGCTTCCAAATAAATTACCTACTTACTGCAAGTTTTCAAAGCATAGCGAAGGACAGATATTGAGAAATCAATCACTTAAAATTCATAGGACACATAGCCAGAAATTAGTAGTACTTTTGCTAATTAATATTCATAATATGTAAATGAGAATTGTACCACGTGATAATAGTTTGAATTGGACTGGCTTGATATCATTAAAATCTTTAAAACACGGATAATATAAGTTGCCCGTCACAGAGTCCTTGGTTATAATCACTCTGATATTTCCGTAAAGTTGTCAGGCGGTCAAAATCAAAACAATGAACGCGAATTTAGTGAATTTTTCGTGTTTTCATGAGTTTATTCTTCTTGAAATAGAGGCATTTTAACTTTACGTGGTAACCTAGAGTTCAACGACTACACATACAAGGTTTGGACTTGCTTATTCTTTGGACATTCAAGTTTCAAGTTTCACCCCGGCAACCTGTATTTCTAAAGACCTTGTTCGCCAATTTTCAACACGAAGTTTCCAAATTTGACGTTTCAGCCATTTTAGCCAGTATTTTATACTGCAATGTTAAAAGCCTCTCGCTTCGATTTTAAAAATAGCTCAGGAACCTTGATTTTTGTAACGACAGTCATTATATTTCGTTTAAATGGTGTATATTGTTGTGTATATTTATTTTCTGCCCCGGCAACCTGTCTATCACTTAAATCAAAGTTAAAACAGACATTTTTTTCAAAATTCCCTATCATTTCAATATAATTTCCGTGACCCGTATCTGATTTTTTTAGTATAATATTCAAATAAGCAAAGTGGCGTTGATTTCTGGATATGAGACACTGAGGGTGGGCAAATTGTGAAACCCGCTTCCAAAAAGGTGGGGTAGGTTGCAATCATATGAGTAGTGTAAGTAAAGAATTAGAACTCTGGACACAGGACTAACATATTAATATTGACTAGAAAAGCTAAAAGTGGCACTATATGCAAATAACCAAGTTCAACAACTGAGAAAACGTCAGGAAAAATACATCAATATGGCCAATTGATTGATAGATTGATTGGTGTTTAATGACACTTTCAACACTGTTGTGCTATTCCATAGTGGTCAGATTTTATTGGTGGAGGAAGCCACCGACCTAAGGTAGGAAAACTGACAATCCTAGTCAATTAAGATTATTTAAGTGCACCCGCACCCGAAATCACAACCTCAGTGTTGACTGGCTAGTGATTACAGTAGTTGAACTACTTAGACCACTCCGCTACCATGACCCTATGTCCAACTGAAGGTGCATTCATCGTTGAAAGTTTGAAGAAAAACTGTTGGGAGTTACTAGACCTGTTAATGCAGGAATAAATAAGGTGTTTCTACACTTTGGAGCAATCTATATCACTTTGCAGTCAAAAATAGAATAAATTTCTGTAAAGAGCCCAAGGAGAATATTAAGGATGAAAGATGACTATAACTGCAATGGCTTACACAGATTCTGTCATTTGGGGGGAAACAAAGGAATAATAATACCAAGAATAATACTAAATATAGTTTATTATAGCTGGTAACCTCATCAATTTTTCATCATAAACTTCAGCTGATTTATATCTTTTTATACTATTTATGTCTACACTACAACCAAAACCATACATGTTTAAAACAACTATCTAGCAAGTAGCTATATCTGAATAGTGTAATCAAGATCTAATTAGAAGATATCTATAACCAATTTTTCTCATGTGGATCTCAACTAAATCTAAGGTAATGTTGGCAATCATATATATATATACCATATCTTATTTTTATATAACCTGGAGCAACCTGCTTCACATTTATAATAGGGACTTCAATACCTTACAATTTTTTCAAGTTGCAGACAAATCACATTAACGCATGTGAGCAGCATCAAGCAAATTGTATTCTTTAAAAAATATATGCCTTTTAAGGCTTTAATTTCAGGAATTTTGTTATATGTCTGTTTTCAATCATTCTATTCTGCAAAAAAAAAATTCTAAATTTACTCAGTGAAATTGTTAAACAATAGAAAGTTTTGCAAATCAGTATGACTATTGAAGGATCTTTGTTTTAACAGCATGAATACTAGTTGTGGGATATGCATCAATGAGACTGTAATCTCACAAAATCCAATGTCACAAAAAGAGTTTAAAAACATTTAGATTTATAAGAGGTAAACATATAGTTTCTGGCAAAGGACGAGTACATCAAACTAAAGATCTAGCAACAGCTGTGACCAAGTAAAAAAGAGTTCTAAAAGTTCTAGAAAAATGTGTGACGAAAAATTTCAAATTCAGTAGACATTAAAACAAATCAAAGTATTGGCAAAGTATGTGACAGAAATATTTGTTGATGAACAGACACAGACGAAGTGAATGCAAGATGAAATGGCACATAATTTTGGTTTGGACATCCACTGTTTTTAAAACAGTTTCTTTTTTATAAAATTAAAATAGAATTGACCCAGTTACAATGAAATTAGTTAATACACTGTATCTGTATAAGATTTGCTCGTAAATTCAGCCATGAGAGTCATGATTTTATTTTCATTCATCAAAATCATATTTCATTTATCAATGCTTAAAAAATATATCATGATTTTTATACGACTGCAAAAAAATTTTGTGGTCGTATATTGGTATGACGTTGGTGTCGTAGTCATCCGAAGACACATTGGTTTTCACACTCTAACTTTAGTTTAAGTGAATGGATCTCTATGAAATTTTACCATAAGGTTCAATACCACAAAAGGAAGGTTGGGATTGATTTTGGGGTTATGGTACCAACAGTTACGGAATTATGGGCCAAAAAGGGGCCAAAAATAAGCATTTTTGTAACTTCCAGACATAACTTGTGTGTTAGTGTATGGATCTCTCAGACATTGTACCACAAGGTTCCATATCACAAAGGGAATGCTGGGATTGATTTTGGGGGTAATTGCCTCAAAATTTTAGGAACTAGGGGCCAAAAAAAAGGCTAAAAAAACAAGCATTTTTCTAGTTTCATGACAATAACTTGTGTGTAAGTGTATGGATCTTTCTGAAATTGTACTACAAGGTTCCATATCACAAAGGGAAAGCTGGGTTTGAGTTTGGGGGTAATTGCCCAAAACGTTTAGGAATTTGGGACCAAAAAGGGGCCAAAAAAAAAGCATTTTTCTAGTTTCCAGACAATAACTTGTGCTCAAGTGTATGGATCGCTCTGAAATTGTACTGCAAGGTACCATACCACAAAGGGAAGACTGGGATTGAGTTGGGGGGTGATGAATCATAAGGGGGTTCAAAAAATTAGGGGGGAATTTTTTTCCCTTTTTTTCCTTTAAAATTTTCCATTTTAAATTGGTTATTTCTGATTTATATATAAAAGTAAATAATAATGATATGGTTTGAATAGGTAAATTAAAAATTTTTAAGTTCTTATACCACATTCATTCTGTGTAAGAAACCTATGCTGTGTCAAATATTTAATCACAATCCAAATTCTGAGCTGTATCAAGCTTGAATGTTGTGTCCATACTTGCCCCAACTGTTTAGGGTTCGACCTCAGCGGAGCATTTTATTCAAAATATCTAAATTTCATCAGCTGATCTGTCAGATCTGCATTTTTTTTTTAATGTATGGTCATATTGAGAAAATTCCTATCTCAATTTTATTGAAAAGAGTACATATAAATAATTTGAACACATCATATGGTGGCATAACCATAGTCTTTGTTTCTTTAATCCACTACTGTATCAGGATCTTTCATGTTGTTCTAAAAACTCTGATAACGTAGCATTGTCTATAGGTATCATTAAATGTTCTATACCGTCATAACTCTGAAAACAAACAAATAGAAAATACAGATCAAATTCACACATTGTCATCTTTCATATTAAAATATTGACTTGGTTAAATAATCATATAAATATAAAACAAGAGTGCACACGCTGAAATGTCTCACCTTCTTTACTAACCATTGATATTATGTTGATAGTCCTAAATATAAAGCTTTACTACAACTATCACACCAATTTAACATTATCCAAGAAAATGAGGTCAAGGTCAGGTAAAAACCAAACTGGAAATACATGTACACCTTACAATCATTCCATACACCAAATATGCTTAAAATATAGTATATCTATTGCACATCGAAGAAACAAAATAAACCAGGAAAACTTGACATTGATCAATGAAACATGAAAATAAGGCCAAGGTCAGATGAACGCTGCCAGACAGACATGTACACCTTACAATCATTACATGTTTTAAATATAGTTGAGCTTTTGCATATAGTATCTAAGAAACAAACTAAACCAGGAAAACTTAAGATTGACCAATAAACCATGAAAATGAGGTCATGGTCAAATGATAATTGCCAGACAGACATATACACCTTATAATCATTCCATAAATCAAATATAGTTGACCCATTGCTAATAGTATTAGAAAAACAGACCAAAAAACAAAAATTTAACATTGAGCAATGAACCATAAAAATGAGGTCAAGGTAAAATAAAACAGACCTGACTGATATGTATATCTTAAATATTTTCATACACCAAATATAGTTGACCTATTGCATGCAGTATTAAAACAACAGACCAATACACAAAAACTTAACTTTAACCACTGAACCATGAAAATGAGGTCAATGTCAGTTGACACCTGCCAGATGGACATATACACCTTACAATCATTCCATACACCAAATATAGTAGACCTATTGAATACAGTATTAGAAAAACAGACCAAAAAACAAAAATCTAACATTGAGCAATGAACCATAAAAATGAGGTCAAGGTCAAATAAAACATACCAGACTGACATGTACATCCTAAAATATTTTCATACACCAAAAAGAGTTGACCTATTACATACAGTATTAAAACAACAGACCAAAACACAAAAACTTAACCATGAAAATGAGGTCAAGATCAGATGACACCTACCAGATGGATATGTACACCTTACAATCATTCCATACACCAAATATAGGAGACCTATTGCTTATAGTATCTGAGATATGGACTTAACCACGGGCATGAGGACCTTGCAAGGTACGCACATACCAAATATAGTTATCCTATTTCTCATAATAAGAGAGAAATTAAAAATACTAAAAATCTTAACTTTTTTTTCAAGTAGTCACTGTACCATAATCAAAGCGCGAAAGCGCTGTAAAGGCAGTTAATTACAGGTTGTGTGTATTTTTAGTCTAGTTATATCATTATCTTGCATAGTACAGTGTACTTATCAGAGGTGGCTTTCAGTATTTAAGATTTAGAGTTCTCTAATGATATTGAACAAGTTTTATGAATGTCATATTCTGAGCACTATATGAAGGCGTTTGTTCTCACTTGTTTATGAACTTGTGCATTATATCCAGTTTGTACCTTTTTTATCTATGTTTATAGTCAAATTAGTTATCAAAGGTACCAGGATTATAATTTAATACGCCAGACTCGCGTTTCATCTACATAAGACTCATCAGTGACGCTCAGATCAAAATAGTTATAAAGCCAAACAAGTACAAAGTTGAAGAGCATTGAGGACCCAAAATTCCAAAAAATTGTGCCAAATACGGCTAAGGTAATCTATTCCTTGGATAAGAAAATCCTTAGTTTTTCGAAAAATTCAAAGTTTTGTAACAGGAAGTTTATAAAAATGACCATATAATTGATATTCAAATACTGTTTAAAATAGTTAGGCATTTTCTTTTGAGAAATAAGTAAATGTTATCAACTGTATTTTATTCAACTCTGCAAATGTGGTTTGTTACTGGTAAGTATGGATGATAGTTGTTTCATTGGCAATCATAACACATCTCCTTATTTATATAATGATCTATATTCAACGACCTCAGGTACAAAAAAAATGTATGTAACTAAACTGTGATGGGAAACCTTTGACTTCTTTCTTTTATATAAACTTTTGATTTGGTACCATAGAACTATGTAGAATAAATGTACATTGCAACATGTCAACTCTTTCAATGACAATACTTTTTTAGAAACTATAACTCCAAGCAAAATTATATTTCCAAGTTTAAAGTAATTTATGAATGAAAAAAAGAGTTCTTAATTAAGAAATAAACTGATTCGCTGAGCGCAGCTGGATACACCGCAGAGGTCCAACCCTGAACAGTTGGGGCAAAAATGGACACAATATTCAAGCTTGATACAGGTCTGTATTTGGATTGTAATTAAATATTTTACATATTATAGTTTCTGAATAAATGTAGTCAAAGAACTTGAAATCGGTTATATGAATTGAATTTATATTCAATTAAAGATTTCTTGCTGTTGTGCAATAAACTGTGCTGTTGCGCAATACTTAATAAATCTGTTGCCAGACTATAAAGAATAAAGTTCAATTTCTTCTCAATGTCATATTTGAAATTTATGAAAATCTATAGGGAGATTACATCAATAGCTATAAATAATTCACCCAAGTTTCATGCGAACTGCTTAAAGCATTTTTGAGTTGTTGTCCAACAACAGTGCACACGCTGAAATGTCTCGCCTTCTTTACTAATCACTGATATTATGTTGATAGTCCTTAATATAAAGCTTTATTACAACTGTCACATAAACTTAACATTAACCAAGAAAACTAAACATTGACCAATGAACCATGAAAATGAGGTCAAGGTCAGATGAATCATGCCAGGCAGGCATGTACAGCTAACAATTCTTCCATACAACAAATATAGTTGACCTATTGCTTATAGTTTAAGAAAAACAGACCAAAACACAACTAGATACGCCCGCAGAGGTCCAACCCTGAACAGTTGGGGCAAAAATGGACACAATATTCAAGCTTGATTCAGGTCTGAATTTGGATTGTAATTAAATATTTGACATATTATAGGTTTCTGAATAAATGTAGTCAAAGATCTTGAAATTGGTTATATGAATTGAATATGCAATTAAAGATTTCTTGCTGTTCTGCAATACTTAGTAAACCTGTTGTCAGACTATAAACAAATAAAGTTCAATTAATTCTCAATGTCATATTAGAAATTTATGAAAATAAAAAGGGAGCTTACAACAATAGATATAAACAATTCACCAAAGTTTCATGAGAATTGGTGACAGCATATTTGAGTTATTGTTCGAAAACTGGAAAATCACCCCTTTTTTTAATGAATAAAACCCCATAACTCAGAAATGTAAAATGTAAAATTTATAAAATTCTAAAGGGAGCTTACATCAATACATACAAACAATTCACCAAAGTTTCATAAGAATTGCTGTAAGCATTTTAGAGTTTTTGTCCGAAAACTGGAAAATCCCCCCTTTTTTTATGAATAAAACCCTGTAACTCGGAAACGTAAAATCTAAAATTTATAAAAATCGAAAGGGAGCTCATGTCAATAGATATAAACAATTCACCACAATTTCTTGCAAGTTGGTGAAAGCATTCTTAACTTATTGTCCGAAAACTGGAAAATCCCCCTTTTTTTAATGAATAAAACCCCATAACTCGGAAACGTAAAATCTAAATTTTATAAAAAATGAAAGGGAGCTCACGTCAATAGATATAAACAATTCACCAAAGTTTTATGCAAATTGGTAAAAGCATTTTTGAGTTAATGTCCGACATGTTGACGACGGACTGACAGACGGACAACAGTATACCATAATACGTCCCGTAAACGGGCGTATAAAAACTTAACAGAGCAATGAACTGTGAAAATGAGGTCAAGGTCAAATAAAACCTGCACGACTGACATAAAGATCATAAAATATTTCCATACACCAAATATAGTTGACCTATTGCATATAGTATTAGAAAAAAGACCAAAACTCAAAAAACTTTGACCACTGAACCATGAAAATGAGGTCACGGTCAAATGACACCTGCCAGCTAGACATGTACATCTTACAATCATTCCATACTACAAATAAGGTAGACCTATTGCATACAGTATAAGAAAAACAGACCAAAACACAAAAACTTAACTATAACTACTGAACCATGAAAATGAGGTCAAGGTCAGATGACACCTGCCAGTTGGACATGTACACTTTACAGTCCTTCCATACACCAAATATACTTGACCTATTGCTTATAGTATCTGAGATATGGACTTGACCACCAAAACTTAACCTTGTTCACTGATCCATGAAATGAGGTCGAGGTCAAGTGAAAACTGTCTGACGGGCATGAGGACCTTGCAAGGTCGCACATACCAAACATAGTTATCCTACTACTTATAATAAGAGAGAATTTAACATTACAAAAAATGTTAACTTTTTTTTCAAGTAGTCACTGAACTATGAAAATGAGGTCAAGGACATTGGACATGTGGCTGACGGAAACTTCGTAACATGAGGCATCCATATACAAAGTATGAAGCATCCAGGTCTTCCACCTTCTAAAATATAAAGCTTTTAAGAAGTAAGCTAACGCCGCCGCCGCCACATCACTATCCCTATGTCGAGCTTTCTGCGACAAAAGTCACAGGCTCGACAAAAACTGGAAAATCCCAATAAAACACCATAACTCAGAAATGTAAAATCTAAAATTTATAAAATTCTAAAGGGAGCTTACGGATTGATAATTTAGTCTTAGATGCAAGATTTTTATATCAGTTGTTAGTGGCTTTGAACTAGCTGTCAGTAACTGCAAGTACTCTCAGATCTGTACTTTCTGTCTTTTTCTTGTTTGGATGTACAACTACCCGACCACATCCACTTGTATTTGTATTTATCCATCTGATGAGTTAAGCCTCTTTCAAGTGATTTTTATAGTTCGTTCTTATATTGTACTGTTACACCACTGTCCCAGGTTAGGGGGAAGGTTGGGCTCCCGCTAACATGTTTAACCCCGACACATTCTGTATGTACATGTATGTGCCTGTCCCAAGTCAGAAGCCTGTAATTCAGTGGTTGTCGTTTGTTTATGTGTTGCATATTTGTTATATTCGTTCATTTTTTGTACATAAATTAGGCAGTTAGTTTTCTTGTTTGAATTGTTTTACATTGTCATTTCGGGCCTTTTATAGCTGACTATGCGGTATGGGCTTTGCTCATTGTTGAAGGCCATACTGTGACCTATAGCTGTTAATTTCTGTGTCATTTGGTCTCTTGTGAGAGTTATCTCATTGGCAATCATACCACATCTTCTTTTTTATATTTACATCAACAGATATAAACAATTCACCAAAGTCAAGGTGAGACAACAAAACTTAGTGGTAAGATCTCTGAAATTTTTTACACGGTACAAGTTTTTCTCATTGTTGGAGATTGTACGGTGACAGTAACACCTGTAACTGCTTAAACCCATTTCTTATGCACTTTAGTTCGATAAACTCACTGAATATCATACCACATCTCCTTATTTTTATATGCATTACAATTTACATGTGCATGTAATTATAAATATATATATATCAGAACAAAATTCATTGCGTCACTTTTATTTCTGCATCCTTTGGCACAATACAAGTTTTAAAATTACACAACATAAAACAACTAAATGTTATTTCAGATGAAAGTTTTGTTTCAGTTCCATTCATAGGATTTGTTAGAATTTTGTATGTTTTGCCAAGTCCAATAATTCGCTCTATGTGCACATGTTAATTGGAGACTTTTCTATCCCGTATAAGAGTTTTGGAACTAATTCTGTTTCTTTTTTTGAAAAAAGTTAGCAAACAAATCTTGCACATTTAAACCTTTGTCTGCCATCACACTGTCACCTGGATCACATAACTGAACTACATTTTGTATTCTACATCTTTCAACTATTTCATAGTCACTGGTAGAACCAACATATGCAGTAGAGACATAGTTGACTAAACCACCAGGCGTCGAACATACAAGTATTTTCAGTGTTTCTGTTTTTATATGATGAAGGAGCTTTAGTTTTATCACGGGATATTCTGTGCTGTCAATAATAATCCAAGTCGTAGGAAACTCTAATTTGAAGTTGGATGGCGAAAAATGCCTGACTAAACCACTAGATGGCCAAGTGTTAGCCTCACACCACTGTTTAGACATAAAAACAATCCATGTATATACACAATATTCTTAACACTAGATTCAATCTAGAATCTAGAAAGTTCAAAGTTGGTTGTATAATGCCTCAATTTCATCAAAGTCATAAAAAAACTGATTTTCAACTGACACCCTATCAATTTGAAAATATATGTATCTCAAACAATGTGCTGTTGGACCAAGTGTGGTCAAAACAAATAAAAATTTAGTATACAACTCTAAACTGGTATAAAAATGCATGGCTGTGTCACGTGTCTTCATTTCAAGCTCATCTTTGAAGCTCAACATTAGCTCAGCAGTTGGTGGTGGACAGTCATAAATCCTTTCTGCAGTATGAATGACTTCTTCAGGAAAACCAACTTTACAATCAAAACTTTCCTCTAGATTTCTACTACAATATTCATCAAGTTTAGTTCTTTTGTTTTCACAGGAAACTGCCCTGATTTTTCTTTTTGCGGACGATTCAGTCTCTTGCTTGGTCCAGGAAAATAGGCTGGGAATGGCAGTAGACTTAGGTCTCTGTATGGTGGGTTTGCGCCCTGAAAAAGGTTATAAAACATTAGTTTTTTGATAATTAAATGAACTTCCATTAGCAATGTATACTTTCAGTCAGGGGTACTACTTGTACAAGTAATCTTTATTTACTTGAAGAAGTAAATAAAATATACTTATATAAGTTAATTATAATGTTTGAATAATCTCCCCTTAATTTTCTCAAAAATTTACTTGTATAAGTAAATTTTTTTTTACAATCCACAAAAATTCTCAAGTTTTGAGATGTAAAATCATGTCTTTAACAATTTTTCTCAGGTTAGCTCATAATTTTTGATAAGAGTTCAATGTTTCATCTCATTAATTCAACAAAGAAACTGATTGAGCAAAGATCTTAAGTATTTGCGCAAGGCCTTCAAAAATTGCTCCTTAGGGGCTTGTAAATGAGCAGTGTTCGGAAGATAACAGACAAATGAGATTTTCATTGTCCATGAAATTACACTTAAATGATTAGTACAGACATCTGCAAAGGACAGACAATTGAAAATTGTGTTAGAGCAAAGAAGTTCTAAGAATTCAAGAAAAGAAGATAGGATGACTTTTTTACTTGTATAAGTAAAAAAATCTGAATGTCTAAGGGACATAATTAGGCCAAAACATAATTTACCTATACAAGTAAATAAAATACACTTGTACAAGTATCCTACAAATTTACTTATATAAGTATATTAATATTTACTTCTTCAAGTAAATAAAAATTACTTGTACAAGTAGTACCCCTGACTGACTTTGTATTACCTGGCGAAATATTAACTAGATTTATTCATTACAATCTGGATAAAACTATGTTTGCCTGATTCAATGTATGTTATGTAAATCCAAAGGACAAACAATGAGAGACTTATGCAACAAACGTACATTGTTTGTACCTAAATAACTATAATATTGATGAGAGCATGTCATTGTTTTGTTCCTGTTAACATTGTCATTGATATTTTTCAAGAAAGTCTATGAGGCATAGCTTATGCATTCCTGTCATTACTACATTAGCATAATTAGTGCTAAAATAATTCTCAGTATGATATACCTCTTGTAAGAAATCATTATAACTGTAGCAATCACCAAAAAATCTCAAACAGATCACATTGAATCGTAATCCAAAAAATTATGACGTCTTGAATTAACCACCCCCTTTTATTCTAAAACGATAATTGCGGTTGTAAACAGGCTTTGGTTTATTCGCATGGCGATTACATATATAACTATATATTTCAAAAAGAAAATAGAGTTTTACCATGAATAGTTTCCTGCACGTAGTCTTTTTCAGTAAAATGTGCCTTGCAAACAACAGCTGATTGAGATGGACTCCACGATGAAATCGTGTTCTCGTCCAATCTGCGTTTGGGCCATGGCGTTGATCCAACTTTTCCTTCTTTTTAATAAGTCATTTGGAAATGCATGTCCTTCTCTTAAATGACATCCAGGTACACAACAACAAGTACTTGGCATCGTTAATTTAAAATGTAACTGAAATAGTTGCACAGTGCAGAAACCGGAAGTTGAGGAACAGGATCGGCTACCACGGCGCCACCTATTCAGGAACGATAATTTGTTACTTTATATAACTGCGAAATAACAATAACGTTAGACGGGTTCACGTGCATAAACAGAAATGCGCTTTAAATTGTATAATATAATTAATGCTCAGTCGACTCTTAATTATTATATCAACGACTGAAATGATTTATAAACATCTAGATTGCAGATAACACTCGAAATTAACCCGAGCTCTTTCCACACGGAATTCAAATAATTCTAGTTTGTCAATCGGTTGACTGCTTATAATGCAAAATACAAATATATCAAAAGTTTTTAAAACTAACAAAACACAATGATCGTTTCTCTATTTCCCAATGTAAATGAAATGAAACAAAAAACATTTTATATCACAATGAGAAGAGGAGAGAATTCAACATTTCCGGATCTACTTGGAGCCTAATGACCCCCCACGTAGATAAGTTGGATATCGCGGAAGGAAGGATTAACCCGGCAACTAGAAAGGCATTAAAGCACTGCCTTTAAAAATGAGGTCAAGGACAATGGACATATGACAGACGGAAACTTCATAACATAAGGCATCTATATACAAAGTATGAAGGATCCAGGTCTTCTACCTTCTGAAATATTCAGCTTTTAAAATGTTAGCTAACGCTGCCGTATCACTATCCCTATGTCGAGCTTTCTGCGACAAAAGTTGCAGGCTCGACAAAAATGTGGAGTATAATTCAATGAGACATCAAGAATATAATTAGAAGCAATTAGTTAATGAGGTAATGCAAAATTCCTTTTTCACTGAAATATTCCTCCGTCTAAAAATCAAAATAGTGGGATGTCCAAAAAAGATGTGTGTCAACTTGTTATCTGGCATTATTATTTATAAGCAGAAATTGTGGAGTGAATGTTTTAATGTAGGTAATCCTTCAAATCACTCTGATTGAAAATTATATACTAGGTGCACTGTTTCATGTCCAGCTGACAAATCTGTGCATGATTGTTTTAATTCTGTCAATGAGGCAAGTGCCAAAAATCTACATCTTGTTACCGACCACTTGGCCGATAGCTCATGGTGTGCTTGTGGTGACCATATTGAAGATAACTTTCATTTTGTTTATGTTTGTCCACTACATGTATATACTATACAGAGATATGAACTTTTTGGTAGTATTAGGAAGTTCCCAAATATTAATCTTGATGTCTTGCTCTATGTTAACCCAGATCTCAATATAGATGAAAATGTTGAAATATTTACAAATGAACAACAATATAATGAAAAAAAAATAATTTCAATGATGTATGACTTGTCAAATTTTGATATTGCACCCTATTATATACCACCAAGGTCCCTCATTGCTCCAATTGTTAAATTTTAATTACATTCCACTTTCCTTATTTTGAACTAGTATATGAATTATATCACTATAATTATTTTCTTATTTAAACACACTCATACAGACAGAAGCTTAAACCTCTGCAAACTTTGTAGGAAGGGTGCATGATCAGAACCCATTCTTTAGTTGATCACTTGTTATAAAGAGAAGAATGTTGATGAAAAGTCAATGTACTTCATTTGTGTTATATATGCTTGTTTTGAAAAAAGTTACCTTTTTACTCTTAATTAACTTGTGATCTTTAAATTCCACCAGTTGTGCCCTCAATGTAAGATCACTGTTGACTAAGAAACCTTCCCGACATCGTTGGTATAAATCTTGTATAGACATACCTACAAAATTTTAAAATAATTTATTTTCTGCCGAAATTATTTTTACTTATAACTGCTTGAACATATTCAATAATTAGAAAATATTGTAATGTTTTATAACATAGTATAATCACTTAAAATAAATACAAAGTCAAACACATAGTAATAAAATTGAGTACTTAATCATGTTAGAAAGAAGGCAGATATAGATCAGAATCATAATCTAGTTGCATGTCATTTTAAATTTGAGGTCCTCACTTTCCAACTCTATATTATATTAGAGATTCTGATGCTTACAGAGAATGGCTCTTAAAAGTTTTAAAAAGCAATTAAACTTAAATAAGTTAATTATCATGATTATAAATGTACATATAAAGACCATAGTCTACAACAGTCATATATAGTTGACAGCGGATTGTCCAGACACTTATAAAATGTATGAAATTGTATGATTTTTCTATGAATTAATGCTAAATCAAGTATACCTATGTAAGTGCTGTTGTCTTTGTTCTCTAATTGGTGCTTAGTTAGCAGTATAAATATATTTTTTGCATTTGGTGTCAAACTCTTCATAACATGTGTCATAGAGCTGAGGGCCAGTGAACCAGATTGTTGTACAAGTAATGAATTCTCATATGATGTCTCATCTGTGTAAGGTAGATATGTTGTAACATCATACCACAACCAATTAAATCTGCTACATTTACTCTGATCCCATACTGAAAAGTATAAGTACAAAACGTTTCAAGGAACAAAAAAGATCATAGAGTATATTGTGATGTTTTTGTTGGCATATTCTCAAACATCTTTTCATTTCAGATCAACAAAAAACAAAAAATCAGAAATTTTGAAAAAAATCATGAAAAGTGTCTGTCAATCATTTCTTTGTATTTTGATTATCTCCCATTAACCATGTTAGACCAAGATTATATTTCTTCAAGCACTGTGTGAAAACAATCTGTAATTTGACAGATATGTGATAAGATGTTTAAACCAATGAAATAAATAACTTAATTTTGAACAAGATCAATGACATTAAATCGTAATTGATCATTTTTTAATAATTTGTATAATATAAAGTGCCGACATGTGAATATAATGGTTTATATGATGGAAAGAACCCTCCAACATAAATCAGTGAGTACAGTAATACTCAGTCATTGATGTGGTCAATAGAGGACATTTCTTTGACACTATGATCTGAGACACTTGTACCTACTAAATAAAAATAAAGCATGGATGTAGTCAAAAGCAGAACCCCAAGATTTTGCTCATGGAGGCATTGATATGGTTACTCTGTATGGCATAGATATATCAATGGAGACCTATTTTCAAACGTTGAGCTGAGTTGAAGAGTACATTACTTACTCAGAGAGGCATAGATATATCAATGGAGACTATTATATATGAAAAACTTTAAACTGGATTGAGGAGTACATTACTTACTTAGTGATGCATTGATGTGGTCAATAGAAGCAATAACATGGAACCCTCTGATCTGACTCAGGAGACTCAGTATATTCTGTGTCTTCTCCCCTCGTAACATCATACCATCTATATTATTCATTACCAAATAAAAATCTCTGTAATCTGAAGAAAAAGAAAATTATTGTATAGAGCTTTAGAGTAGAAATCATGTTCAACTTGCGATAGCACATTTACATAGTTAATTTTGTTTTTTTTATTTCAATAAGAGATCATAGTTACTGTGATATTCTTTTTTTTATATTAACACTCAACTTTTGGTACTTGTATAACTTTTCTAAATTAACCATGACAATTCTGAACATTTTTGAACTTGTAATGTTAATGACATAATAGTTGAATTCATTGTGTTAAATGGGAAACATATACCTTCTTACTACTCCTAAACTATGCCTGTAAACTCTCAAGCCTACCTTTTGATTCAAATTCTGATTTAATATAATCTACTTGATCTAATGGTCCTTTAAAACTGACTTCTTTCTCCAATATTTCATCAGTTATTGAATTTAATATCTGTGAAAACAACATTAAATACATTAATTATAAAACACATGTATATAAAAAAAATTAATTCAAATATATGTTATTCTTTTAACCCTTGAGAATACTTTTTTGAAGAAAGGCAACTGATGTTTGCTTGTAAGAAGGCTTAAATACATTATCATCATACCTATTGTTTAATTGACTGTCAGTAATGTGAGCAACCAACCAAAGAACCAGCTTACTTTCTTTTGGGTAATTTGCAAACAACATATGGAAATTGAGCTATAATTGACCCATGTCAAAAATTAAAAAGTTTCAAAACAAGAGTGCACACGCTGTAATGTCTCACCTTCTTTACTAACTATTGATTTTATGATGATAGTCCTAAATATAAAGCTTTACTACAAGTATCCCATAAACTTAACATGATCCAAGAAAATGAGGTCAAGGTCAGATAAACCAAACGAGAAATACATGTACACCTTACAATCATTCAATACACCAAATATAGTTGACCTATTGCTTATAGTTTCTAAGAAATAGACTTAACCAAGAAAACTAAACATAGACCAATGAACCATGAAAATGAGGTCAACGTCAGATGAACCATGCCAGACAGACATGTACACCTTACAATCAATCTATGCATTAAATACAGTTGACCTATTGCTTATAGTATCTAAGAAACAAACGTAAGCATGAAATTTTAACATTGACCAATGAACCATGAAAATGAGGTTAAGGTCAATGATACATGCCAGACAGACATATACACCTTACAATCCTTTCACACAACAACTATAGTTGACCAATTGCTTATAGTTTAAGAAAAACAGACCAAAACACAAAAACTTAACACTGAGCAATGAACCGTGAAAATGAGGTCAAGGTCAGATGACACCTGCCAGTTTGACATGTACACCTTACAATCATTCCATACACTGAATATAGAAGACCTATTGCTTATAGTATCTGATATATGGACTTGACCACGAAAAACTTAACCTTGTTCACTGATCCATGAAATGAGGTCGAGGTCAAGTGAAAACTGTCTGACAGGCATGAGGACCTTGCAAGGTACGCACATACCAAATATAGTTATCTTATTACTCATAATAAGACAGAAATTAAGAATACTAAAAATCTTAACTTTCTTTTCAAGTAGTCACTGAACCATGAAAATGAGGTCAAGGACAATGGACATATGACAGACGGAAACTTCGTAACATAAGGCATCTATATACAAAGTATGAAGCATCCAGGTCTTCCACCTTCTAAAATATAAAGCTTTTAAGAAGTTAGCTAACGCCGCTGCCGCCGGATCACTATCCCTATGTCGAGCTTTTTGCGACAAAAGTCGCAGGCTCAACAAAAATCATGATGTATATCAGAATATCAATGCTGTATAAGGGATCATAGATTTATTCTTATGAGGAAGCTCCGAGCATGCTCGGAGGATGCTCGGAGCTTTTTCAGTAGGCTCTTCTCTGCAGTTTATGTGAAAATAATTATCATGATCCATTAAGATGTCAATCAAATCTACACCACTTCTATAATAAGGAAAGTAGAGCATTATAGAGGAAGCTCAATTAACACCTGTGTAAACATCTAATCTATTCAAATACATTTTGCCTGAAATTTTACAAAACTATAGAATAGATTAGAAATTCTTCAACAGTACTGTGTAATGCTTGGAAAGAAATCTCATGTCTCCACAAAAAGTGAAAGTCTTTAACAAATAATATACAATTATTATATTTTTAAAATAATCATTTCTTTTTTTATAATAAAAAAAATTCTCAAATTTTATAATTAGATGATATGATTTAAATATAGTTTATATTATATAATATGCTACATAAAAGTTATCAAGACACATACAACAGTTAGGGGGCGATACTAAACAAGTTATTTTTTTTAGTTACTTATATTAATAGGTATTTTTTGTTTTTTTAAATTATTTGATATAATCTCAATTGTTATTTTAAATGTCAAAAGTGGACTTAATGTAGTTTTTAAGAATTTTTATATCATTTCATTAAGTAAAATTAAATATTTATCCAACTTGAGATGAGTATAGAGAGATTACTTTAAAAATAATGACAAAAATATTACTTTTATAAATTATTTTTATACATCTTCGAAAAACTAAGCATACTTACAATTACATGTATTTAAGGAACATATGTAATTGTTTTTGATAAATATTGTAAATTATAAATAACTTCAAGTCTTAATTAAATCACAAGGTTCCATCCATTTATATTTGTTCATCTCTAAGATTTTGAAGGAAAATGTTATTTTAATAGCCCCAAGAGACCAATCTATGACCAAGAAGTGTGGCATCAGAAAGGCAATTAGTGTTTCAGGAGGATTTAAATAGTTTTATACTGCATGGGGAAAATAACCAGATGTGAAAATTTGTTAAAGCTTGTAAAACCTGTATGAATGGACACCTATAGAAATAATATTAACAGAAGTTACTTATTCATGATATATAAGTAATATTTGAAACAACCTTGTTTTCAATATAACTTGTATAGGTTATTTTGAAAATTACTAGTTTAAGTAATGCCCTTAACTAAACAATGGTATTTTTTTTTATAAAATAGCAAAGTTAGTTTTTTATATAAAATATTTTTGCAATTTTAGGGGACATGGCTACTAAAGCTTGTAAACAGAGAAAAAAAAGGGGGATAGAATTTGGTTGGTTAATTCTGGTGATGTCTTCTTTCTAATATGCACTGAAAAATTATGTTGTTTTATTACTATAGTACAGGACAAGAAAAAACTTTACTCATTTCAAGTATTTCTTTATTTAAAACATAGATAAATTCTGCACATATTTTTGGAAAAATACCAATTAAACAAAGACTGATAGGGGGAAACAATTTTATATTACGGTAGATTTTCATTCAAGTACAGGTCAGGATAAAACTTCACTTCTTTATTTAAAATAAAACCAAATCTGCACAATTATAAAAAAAATGACAATTAAAGTGAGACGTACTAGAGGGAAAACAATGGTGGTATTACCTCCTCAACCTTTCTTAGAGTAGCCATAATTTTTTTTATAAAAAACTAACTTTGCTATTTTATATAAAAAAAAAAATTATCATTGTTTTAATAGTTAGGGGCATTACTTAAACAAGTAATTTTCAAAATTACTTATACAAGTTATATTGAAAACAAGGTTGTTTCAAATATTACTTATATATCATGAATAAGTAACTTCTGTTAATATTATTTCTATAGGTGTCCATTCATACAGGTTTTACAAGCTTTAACAAATTTTCACATCTGGTTATTTTCCCCATGCAGTATAAAACTATTTAAATCCTCCTGAAACACTAATTGCCTTTCTGATGCCACACTTCTTGGTCATAGATTGGTCTCTTGGGGCTATTAAAATAACATTTTCCTTTAAAATCTTATAGTTGAACAAATATAAATGGATGGAACTTTGTGATTTAATTAAGACTTGAAGTTATTTATAATTTGAAATCTTTATCAAAAACAATTACATATGTTCCTTAAAAACATGTAATTGTAAGTATGCTTAGTTTTTCGAAGATGTATAAAATAATTTATAAAAGTAATATTTTTGTCATTATTTTTAAAGTAATCTCTCTATACTCATCTCAAGTTGGATAAATACTTAATTTTACTTAATGAAATGATGAAAAAATTCTTAAAAACTACATTTGGTCCACTTTTGACATTTAAAATAACTATTGAGTTTATATCAAATAATTTAAAAAAACAAAAAATACCTATTAATATAAGTAACTAAAAAAAATAACTTGTTTAGTATCGCCCCCTGACTGTTGTTTGTGTCTTGATAACTTTTATGTAGCATATTATATAATATAAACTATATTTAAATCATATCATCTAATTATAAGATTTGAGAATTTTTTTTATTATAAAAAAAGAGATATGATTAATAAATATAATAATTGTATATTTTTTGTTAAATGACTTTCACTTTTTTGTGGAGACTTGAGATTTCTTTCCAAGCATTACACAGTACTGTTGAAGAATTTTTTATCTTTTCTATAATTTGTAAATGTCATGCAAAATGTATTTGAATAGATCAGTTGTTTACACAGGTGTTAATTGAGCTTCCTCTAGAATGCTCAACTTTCCTTATTATAGAAGTGGTGTAGATTTGATTGACATCTTAATGGATCATGATAATTATTTTCACATAAACTGCAGAGAAGAGCCTACTGAAAAAGCTCCGAGCATCCTCCGAGCATGCTCGGAGCTTCCTCATAAGAATAAATCTATGATCCCTAAGAAACTTACCTACAACATAACCAAACATATTATTCAAAGGCAATCAAAAATCATGTGTGATGAACAGAATAGCCTCATGATGAGTATATGTCTTTCCAACCCCAAATTGCTTAAAGTTTTTATGTGAAGCAAGGGGATATAACTTACATGTTTGACTGTCAGGCTAGGGAAATATCCATTCACCACAACATGTGATAATTCTGACAACATGGTCTTCCTGAAATCTTCCAGTAAAGTTCTCTTTGATCCTAAACCATGCAGGAGAATATTGAAGTTATTGCTACAAAATAAACAGTAAATTATATATATTAAAAAAAGGGAAATGTTTGAGCTCTTTGTAACTTTCAAGTCAAATACAAGATCATAACAATAAATTTCTATCAACACACTAAATATCATGATACTTTTCCTAAAATTTCAGTCTATTTATAGGTACCTTGACCTTTGACCTGCTGACCAAAATACCATTAGGGATCTTGTTCTATCCAAGGGATAATTTCCAACAAAGTCTAGTATAGCTATATATATGCTAGACATGCTTTCAAAGTGATCATCCTGAAACAATTTTTTACTCCAGTTCTATACTATTAATAACTGCAGCAAGCTTGACCTTTGCCTATGGTAATATGTTGTCTGGAAACTGAAATGTAGACAGCCAAGTTTGATGCCCAAACCCAATTATCACATATGCAAGTTCATCTTCATCCCTTCTGGGCTAAAAATTGTCTACCAGACAAATGTTTTTAAATTATGGTGCATAGTATTTTTCTTATAGAAATAGGCCTGTAAATTTGAAGGTTTTTTAATCTATGTTTTGTTCCTTTTTTTCCTTAATGGCAACAACCCAATATTAAAATAAAATTGTTCAAACATTTCTATGTTAAAAATTGTTAAAAGAAGTTTAACCTGACTTCTGAATAAAACCATTGTCATTGCCATGAAATGTGCCAATCCTCAAAGTTAAAAGTCTTTGCTACCCATGGTAGGAAGGTCAAATGAATCTGACCTGCTGTGATTTCAGTAATAACCTACCACATTTGATACATCCACTGGTTAAATAAGCTCCTATGTTCCGTATACATCTGTGTACACTCTTTACTATGACTGGAGGGAATCTTATGCAATAACTGTGAAAGTGTCTCCTGGTCCATTTTACTTGTACCTAATTTGGCCAAGGTCCTGTCTGAGGTAGCACAAGGTCCTTCGGAGTGAAGATCAAAATAGTCCTGGACCATTGATGGCTGAAATAATCAAATGAAATAACATTTATAAACAGATTGATTCCAGCCAGTTTTGATTCATTCATTAGATTTATTAATGTATAGCATTTACTGGCATTTTAGGGCAATAACTCCAAAAAGAAGTGAACTGACAATTTCAGATTTGTTGACCCATTTCAACATGTTCAAGATCTTGTTTTGCTTCAACAGTTCTTATTGGTTGTCAGACAGTATCATCTGGTCTAGTTATTTCAGTGGAAAAGGTTTTTTATAGAAGTTAACTGACGTCAAAGATGAAGGAGGAGTGATGGCAAAAGCTTACACTGGCCCTTTGGACTAGATGTGCTAAAAATGAATTTAATAATTGATACTGCTGCCTGTAAGCATCTGGGAAACAACATTGACTTTTACTTCAAAAACAAAGAGCTCATCCTTACATCTAAAAGAGAAGAAAAGTTATCAGAAGTTTTTAAATTTTGACAGGTTTATTATGATATGGACATACAGTCAGGATTCTACTTTGTCAAAATAACTCTAGATAACACACAACAATAAATGAAGTTTTTTTGATGTTATGCATTTTTAAGATCCACCAGAAAAGTTCGTCGTCATGTACTTTTAGTAAACAAGAGTGCACACGCTGAAATGTCTCGCCTTCTTTACTAATCATTGATATTATGTTGATAGTTCTAAATATAAAGCTTTACTACAACTATCACATAAACTTAACATGATCCAAGAAATGAGGTCAAGGTCATATAAACCAAACAAGAAATACATGTTTACCTTACAATCATTCAATACACTAAATATAGTAGACCTATTGCTTATAGTTTCCAAGAAAACTAAACATTGACTAATGAACCATGAAAATGAGGTCAAGGTCAGATAAACCATGCCAGGCAGACATGTACAGCTTGCAATCCTTCCATACAACAAATATAGTTGACCTATTGCTTATAGTAATAGAAAAACAGACCAAAACACAAAAACTTAACACTGAGCTATGAACCGTGAAAATGAGGTCAAGGTCAAATAAAACCAGCCAGACTGAAATATTTCCATACACCAAATATAGTTGACCTATTGCATATAGTATTAGAAAAAAAGACCAAAACTAAAAAATTTAACATTGACCACTGAACCATGAAAATGAGGTCAAGGTCAGAAGACACCTGCCAGCTAGACATGTACACCTTACAATCATTCCATACACCAAATATAGTAGACCTATTGCTTATAGTTTCCAAGAAAACTAAACATTGACTAATGAACCATGAAAATGAGGTCAAGGTCAGATGAACCATGCCAGGCAGACATGTACAGCTTGCAATCCTTCCATACAACAAATATAGTTGACCTACTGCTTATAGTAATAGAAAAACAGACCAAAACACAAAAACTTAACACTGAGCTATGAACCGTGAAAATGAGGTCAAGGTCAAATAAAACCAGCCAGACTGAAATATTTCCATACACCAAATATAGTTGACCTATTGCATATAGTATTAGAAAAAAAGACCAAAACTAAAAAATTTAACATTGACCACTGAACCATGAAAATGAGGTCAAGGTCAGAAGACACCTGCCAGCTAGACATGTACACCTTACAATCATTCCATACACCAAATATAGTAGACCTATTGCATGCATACAGTATAAGAAAAACAGACCAAAACACAAAAACTTAACTATAACCACTGAACCATGAAAATGAGGTCAAGGTCAGATGACACCTGCCAGCTGGACATGTACACCTTACAGTCCTTCCATACACCGAATATGCTAGACCTATTGCTTCTAGTATCTGAGATATGGACTTAACCACCAAAACTTAACCTTGACTGATCCATGAAATGAGGTCGAGGTCAAGTAAAAACTGTCTGACGGGCATGAGGACCTTGCAAGGTACGCACATACCAAATATAGTTATCCTATTACTCATTATAAGAGAGAAATTAACATTACAAAAAATCTTAACTTTTTTTTCCAGTTGTCACTAAACCGTGAAAATGAGGTCATTGACAATGGACATGTGACGACAGAAACTTTGTAACATAAGGCATCTATATACAAAGTATGAAGCGTCCAGGTCTTCCACCTTCTAAAATACAAAGGTTTTAAGAAGTAAGCTAACGCTGCCGCTGCCGTAGCCACCGCCAGATCACTATCCCTATGTCGAGCTTTCTGCGACAAAAGTTGCAGGCTCGACAAATTTGTGTTATTCAAACACACCTACTCTGTTGTTATGACTCATTAGAAAGGTATTTCACTTGACCCATATATTTCATCTTTTAGAACTGTTAATTTTTAATATTTTGTATCAACCTGTCACTGGGGGCAGAGATGCAAATTGATGCTTTAAAAAGATAAATCTATTTTCCTTTTTTGGAATTTTTTTCGTCGGAATTTATGCTTATGCATAAAAAAGATCCATGTTAATTTGCACCTACCACAATCGACTGTTTTGTGAAAATTTGTCTATAATTCAAAAGTTTACAAATATCTCGAAACTCAATTCAATAATTTAAGTAATAAACTGTTATCACAGAGATATGTCTCGCCCTTTTAGTAATTTTGATTATGCAAATGTTGAAATTAAAATAGCATTACTTCAACATGTTTCATAAGTTATGCAAATATTCAAAGTCAATGAACCATGACTGAGGTACATGGCTAAACAATCTCCATGTAAATGAGATGTGCCAAAGCTAAAACAACTGCATACCAAATACCATTGACTTATTACAGGGAAAAACATTAACGGTCGCCCAGTCGCCCAAGGCGACTAGAAATTGACCTGGGCGATCTTTTTATTCAGTTGTGGTAGCCCAGGTGGCGAATTGAAAAAAAGTACTTGACTGACGAGTAAAATCTAGCGTTAACAAATCCGGGATCTACACTCTCACTGGTCCCCCTTGATCAGAAACTTAACCGTCGTCATCACAATTTTATCGGGAACCAGTTGTTAGAATTCATAAATTGTGCCGATATCGGTTTGCGTTTACAATTTTTCGCGAACAACCAGATTTGAAAAAAACAAAATGTGGAAGAGAGTGAGGCAGTGTGTAATGTTGAAAGTGTGAAGCAGAGTATTTTTGAGGTGAGTAAGATGTATGGGTTTGAAGATGAGTGTGATGATGAAAGTGATTATGAGTCAGAGATTGACAGTGATTTGGAGGAGGATGTGGTGTTTGCAAGGTTGTTCAAATTTTCCAGAGATTAACAATTATGTCTGTTCTGTTGTTTGATGTAGCTCATTCAAGTTAATAAAATCATTGAATTCTTTAGTTGTCTTAAAAAGATATGTAAAAAAAAACTGGTACACAGGGTATGAAGATTCCAATTTTGTAAATGATTTTTTTTATTAAATTTGATTGAAGTCAACAACAAAAATAAGACAAAATTAACATTTTCCCAAGCATCTAAATGCCTCCAGGTATGCTCAGAATGCCGGGTTTTGAGTCTAAAATTTCAAAATTTTCTTGGCGGGGGGGCAAACCCCCCTGGCAAGTTCAGCCCGCTTTGCGGGCTTCACACGGTGATAGCGAAATAAAGTGGGCTACTTACTTTTTGTCTGGGCTAACAGATTTTCAAGTCTAGTAGCCCAGCTGGCTACTGGCCTTAAAAAGTTAATTTTGACCCCTGTTATTATAAGTCACTCCCTTTAAACAAACCTAAACACAAACATTAACTTGTAAACTATGGAAAAGTTTCTAAGTCAATGAACCATGAAGAGGGGGTGGGGCTATATAATCTCCATGGAAACGATACTTGCAAATTTCAATAAATTTGCATACCAAATATCATTGACTTAACATAAGCAGTTCATCTTAAACTGATCTAATCACAAACTAATACATGTAAACTAAGCAAAAGTTTCTAAGTCGATAGACCATGACTGAGGGGGGGCCAAATATTCTCCATGGTAATGAGATGTGCTAATGCTTATACAACTGAATACCAATTAACATTTGCCTACCCTAAATGGTTCCCCTTGAACTGACCTAATCACAAACTAATGCATGTTAACTTAGCAAAATTTTCAAACTCAATAGACTATGACTAAGGGGGCGGAGCCAAATAATCTCCATGGAAATGAGATATGCCAACGCTTATACAACTGCATACCAAATATCATTGACCTACCTCTAGTGGTTCCCCATAAACTGACCTAATCACAAACTAATACATGTAAAATAAGCAAAAGTTTCATAGTCAACAGACCATGACTGAGGGGGCAGGGCCAAATAATCTCCATGTTAATGAGATGTGCCAATGCTAATACAACTGCATACCAAATATGATTGACCTAACACTTGTGGTTCACCATAAACTGACCTAATCACAAACCAATACATTGTTGCCGCTGACGCCGGAACCAGCATACCTATGTCTCACTTTTTGACTCCGTCAAGGCGAGACAAACTAGAGGCTCTCAAGAGCCTGTGTCGCTCACCTGTATTTACTGATGCTTTGGAAATCATGTAAAATAAGGTTAAAATCATAATTAATAGTATTAGATATTGATATTATAATGATATCTAAGATAATAACAAACAAGAGTGCACACGCTGAAATGTCTCGCCTTCTTTACTAATCATTGATATTATGTTGATAGTCCTAAATATAAAGCTTTATTACAACTGTCACATAAACTTAACATTAACCAAGTAAACTAAACATTGACCAATGAACCATGAAAATGAGGTCAAGGTCAGATGAACCATGCTAGGCAGGCATGTACAGCTAACAATTCTTCCATACAACAAATATAGTTGACCTATTGCTTATAGTTTAAGAAAAACAGACCAAAACACAAAAACTTAACACTGAGCAATGAACCTTGAAAATGAGGTCAAGGTCAAATAAAACCTGCGTGACTGCCAAATAGATCATAAAATATTTCCATACACCAAATATAGTTGAACTATTGCATATAGTATTAGAAAAAAAGACCAAAACTCAAAAAACTAAACTGTGACCACTGAACCATGAAAATGAGGTCATGGTCAGATGACACCTGCCCGCTAGACATGTACACCTTACAATCATTCCATACACCAAATATAGTAGACCTATGGCATACAGTATAAGAAAAACAGACCAAAACACAAAAACTTAACTATAACCACTGAACCATGAAAATGAGGTCAAGGTCAGATGACACCTGCCAGTTGGACATGTACACCTTACAGTCCTTCCATACACCGAATATACTAGACCTATTGCTTATAGTATCTGAGATATGGACTTGACCACCAAAACTTAACCTTGTTCACTGATCCATAAAATGAGGTCGAGGTCAAGTGAAAACTGTCTGACGGGCATGAGGACCTTGCAAGGTACGCACATACCAAATAAAGTTGAACTATTGCATATAGTATTAGAAAATAAGACCAAAACTCAAAAACTTAACTTTGACCACTGAACCATGAAAATGAGGTCAAGGTCAGATGACACCTGCCCGCTAGACATGTACACCTTACAATCATTCCATACACCAAATATAGTAGACCTATGGCATACAGTATAAGAAAAACAGACCAAAACACAAAAACTTAACTATAACCACTGAACCATGAAAATGAGGTCAAGATCAGATGACACCTGCCAGTTGGACATGTACACCTTACAGTCCTTCCATACACCGAATATACTAGACCTATTGCTTATAGTATCTGAGATATGGACTTGACCACCAAAACTTAACCTTGTTCACTGATCCATGAAATGAGGTTGAGGTCAAGTGAAAACTGTCTGACGGGCATGAGGACCTTGCAAGGTATGCACATACCAAATATAGTTATCCTATTACTTATAATAAGAGAGAATCTAACATTACAAAAAATCTGAACTTTTTTTTTCAAGTAGTCACTGAACCATGAAAATGAGGTCAAGGACATTGGACATGTGACTGACGGAAACTTCGTAACATGAGGCATCCATATACAAAGTATGAAGCATCCAGACCTTCCACCTTCTAAAATATAAAGCTTTTTAGAAGTTAGCTAACGCCGCCGCTGCCGGATCACTATCCCTATGTCGAGCTTTCTGCGACAAAAGTCGCAGGCTCGACAAAAACTGCAAAATTTTTGTAAAATTACAAACTCAGGGGCAGCAACCCAACAACAGGTTGTCGGATTCGTCTGAAAATTTCAGGGCAGATAAATCTAAATCTGATGAACATTTTTGCCACCTGTCAGATTTGCTCTAAATGCTTTAGTTTCAGAGATATAAACCAAAAACTGCATTTTCCCCCTATGTTCTATTTTTAACCAAGTCGGTCATGATGGTTGGAAGGCGGGGTCATCGGACAAATTTTTTGAACTAGATACCCTAATAATGATTATGGCCAAGTATGGTTAAATTTGTCTCAGTAGTTTCAGAGAAGAAGATTTTTGTAAAAGATTACAAAAATTTACAAAAAATTGTTAAAAATTGACTATTAAGGGCAATAACTCCTAAAGGGGTCGACTGACAATTTTGGTCATACAACTTATTTGTAGATCTTACTTTGCTGAACATTATTGCTGTTTACAGTTTATCTCTATCTATAATAATATTCAAGATAATAACCAAAAACTGCAAAATTTCCTTAAAATTACCAATTCAGGGGCAGCAACCCAACAACAGGTTGTCAGATTTGTCTGAAAATTTCAGGGCAGATAGATCTTGACCTGATAATCAGTTTTACCCTTGTCAGATTTATTCTAAATGCTTTGGTTTCAGAGATATAAGCCAAAATCTACATTTTACCCCTATGTTCTATTTTTAGCCATGGTGTCCATCTTGGTTGGTTGGCGGGGTCATCGGACACATTTTTTAAACTAGATACCCTAATGATGATTGTGGTCAAGTTTGGTTAAATTTGGCCCAGTGGTTTCAGAGGAGAAGATTTTTGTAAAAAGCTAACGACGATGGACGACGACGGACGCCAAGTGATGAGAAAAGCTCACTTGGCCCTTCGGGCCAGGTGAGCTAAAAAAACATACATAAGATACATAAAATCCTAAATTAGGATCATTCATTAAACTTTTAAAGCCCATAGAAATACATGTAAACAATTCAAATTTACTAACTTCACCTTTTTTACCTTCTCTAACAAAGAGTTCCATTTCTTTTGTTTAATAGCAACTCGGTTTCTTCCTGGACATATATTAAATGAAAACTAGGTTTAATATAAAATGGACATATACTAAATGAAAACTATATCTCGAGAAAAAATTCCTATTCATTAATGTTTAAGTTATCATTTAGTTTTAAGACAAACCAACTCTCATATGTTCCTTGTTATTGACCTGTCCATATGTTTGCATCATTATTTATATTATGATTACCACATCAACTGTGTCTTCATGCTGTCTACGATTCCTTTTTATACTTGATGGTGTTTTGCTTCCACCAGATGGAGTTTTTGGTGTAGATTGTTTACTGCCACCAGATGGCGTTCTTGAACTGAGTGATTTATTACCACTAGGTGTAGAATTTTCATCACTGTCCAATTCATCTTCACTATCTCCTGATGAAAAACTTTCTTCAGAATCAGACACTGTTGGAATTCAGAACATCATAGATATATGTGTCATGTATAAGTAAATGCTAAAAGTATACAACACCAAATCTTATATATTTTGTTGTAGGTTGCTGTTTGCCATATTTGTTTTTCCCTTATAGTTTAAGGTTTTTTAGTATAAATAAGGCCATTGGTTCTCTCTTTTAAATTGTTTTCATTTTGTCATGTCTGGGCCTTTAATAGTTTATATATAATTACCATGAAGTATATGTGTATCGCATTTTTTTTTTTAGGAGATAAAATGACCTATAGTTCCTTACATCTACATCATATGATCTCAAGGTCAACATCCCCTATCTCCTTACTTTTATATTTTTATTATCATTAACTCAATGTCAAGCCCTGCAGGTATAAGTTGCATCTTTAACAGTTTTGGATTATTTCATCTCATCTAAATTAAATTGGTACTATAACATGAACAATTATGCAACACTACATATTTTTGGGTATATCTTGTGATAATTATAATCTTCATTAGTTTATACCTTCTAAATGCCTCTGTCTCAGTCTGTATGGTGTGGTAGCTTCCGGGCGTTTTACTTTACCTTTTCTTTTAACTGGTGTCTTTTTATCTGCCAAAAATGAAGAGCTTTACTAGGTATACATGCATGAAATGTATATCAGGTAATTCAGAAATAGTAAATATAAAATCTGAGTGTAAATGTGTTGTCCCTTTGTTTTGACTATTATTGAAATGACCCAGTTTGTATTATCTACTAGATTTCCAAGTGCAATCTTTTACTGAGATATTCATATTTCTGATACATGTACTTGAGATTTGTTACTCTAAAAAGTTACAAGTTCTATCAAATCGTTCAAGAAAACCGTACCTTATTAACCCCCATAAACCAAAATTTAAACAACAATGAAGACAGTCGTACCTTTATTTTTGTATTTTCATTGCACCCATGGATATTTAGACAACTAAATAATGCATATTTTTTTTAAATATACCCCTGGTATAAGTATTCAGAAAACAGAAAGTTGATGGGCATTGGATTTCAAAACTCGTCAAACCTCTCAGCATGCTCACATGAATGTTGATTACAAATTTCATGATACTCTGAATCATAGTTCCTAAAAATGTGACAAAATTTTCTTGTGATTATTATGTGTTAGAATATTTATTCTGTAAACAAAAAGTTGATGGGCTATGAATATGAAAATGTATCACATGGTATAGCATGCTCACATGAATATTGTAATCAGATATCAGGATACTCTTCACATAAAAAATCTCTCAAAAATTTCAGAACACGCTATTATGTACAATAAGAAACAAGTATTTTTGTGAACGGGAAGTTGATGAGAGATGAATGAGAAAGCTCTGATTCATGGCTACCAATCAACTCCAATCAAGAAATATAATGAACGGACACAGGAGAATCAATATACCATACCTCCTTGAGGAAGGGTATATAATAGATGAGTCCATTCTGCATTTTGTTGTATTCAATTCTGTTCGTTTTTTTAAATTGTGTATTTTATAAGCTAAGCCAATACCACAAATATCACAAATATTTTTTTTATTTCCCTCATTTATTAATATTTACCTTTTCCTGGTGTTACATTCTCATTGAGATCTTTGACTTTTTTCAGGATTGACTTTGGTGTTCTCGACTCAGAAGCTTCAGAAAAAAGGAAATTTACATGAAATTTGTACATAAACCAGAACTGTATGTGACCTTATATATTGTGGTAATAGTTTAAGTTTAAATATAGACAGGATATATAAACATTTGTTTGATAAAGAAATCTAAAAATATTGCTTTAAAAGGGAGATTATTTCAGGTAATTACATTTTTTTGTATAGCAAAAAGAGGAATATATTTCATTTTTATAAGAGTTCTTTCTATTCCTATGTTTATTCCTTACAAAGTATAATACATTGTAAACTGCACACCTATTTTTTTTTATCATATCTATAGGCATAGCTGGAAACAAAGTACACCTTGGTTAACTATTAAACAAATTCTATTATTTTTGCATACTCCCTTAGTATTTTAACAATTAAAATTCCAGTGATGAAGTTTCCAAGATATAGTATCACTATTACGATATTAGTACCCTTTGCAGCCATCTGTCCTGATTTCTTTGGTGTTCTGAATTGAAATAAATCTGTTCCAACCAATACATTGCCTTCCTCTAGGGCTATAATGAAATAATCAAAATTAGAATTGTTATAATTTCTTTTTAATACACATATAAATATATTTGAAGAAAGAGATCCACATTGCCTACCAACATGAACAAATCTAATTCGAAGCCTCTGTCACTAAAATTTATAACTTAAAACAATGCTAAAGTCAACCCAGCATGTTTAACTCCCCCACATTATGTATGTGCCTGTCCCAGTCAGGAGTCTGTAATGCAGTGGTTGTTGTTTGTTGGTGTATAATCATACTTTATTTTTTGTTTAATTGTCTTGTACATAAATCAGAAATTAGTTTTCTCGTTTGCATTGTTGTTCATATGTTATTTCAGTGCCTTTTTTAGCTTGCTATGCTGTATGTGTTTTGCTCATTTCAGAAGGCTGTATACATGGTATATATAGTGACCTATCACTACAAAAGTCAAAAAGTCTGAAAAGACCAGTTTTTGTCTGAATTTGCATGAATTTTTACTCGACATTCTTAATTTGTCTGAATAATTTTTAAAAATTCTTGACATAGTATGAATTTGTCTAATAAGGTTCTTGATTTTTCTTGACAAGTGTCTTGACAGTATGAACATTGTCTTAAAATTTCTCGACACTTCCTGTATCATCTGATAAGAGTCTGGATTAGTCTCGACCAATTCTTGACTGTCTTAAATTTGTCTCGATCTGTCTTGACATATTCTCGACATTCTTAATAATGTCTGAATATGTCTCGACATATTCTTGACATTCTAAATAATGTCTGAATATGTCTCGACACATTCTTGACAGTCTTAAATATGTCTTGACACTATCTCAACATTATAAATTTCGCCTGAAATGTGAACAGACTTATTCTGCACTGTTTATGACATTCTATTGCTGTTATATACTCCTTTTTTATTATGGCTAAACTAAACTTTGAAGAATCAAGGATTAATTTGGTATAGTAAGATACCCTTTTGGTGCAACTGAGTTGGAATACCCTGAATAATCCCCCATGTAGTTTAATTTTGATTTATTTTTATTAAACATTTAAGTAATTGTTTTCTTTGGAATATAAGTCGAAGGTATTGACAAACAGCATTTAGATTTTTGCCGTTCGCAAAACTGCCAGTCAAATTTGCTTTACTAAAATAGGTGTCTTGTATCTCTTTTGGACCCCACAATTCATCTTTTGGGTTTGTGTGGCTAAAAAAAGAGGGGGGGGGGGCTTTCGTTTAGGTCAAAGAATTTGTTCCCATCTTGATTCAAAAACCTTATTCATTTTTAAGAACAACCCAAAAACATTTTTTATTCAAATTTGAGTGTTGAATTTTATAATTTTTATCAAAAATAAATATTTGTGATAACTCCTTCCTGAAAAGAATAAAATGTTTAGATCTATATTATGCATGTCTGTTTGAGAACCATTTCATAAGACCGATGATTTCTATAAAAATCATTGATGGGACCCATTATAAATACATTTTTTTTATTATTCCTGGAGTAGATAATAATTTTCTTTTAATCTTTGGGAATTATTCAATTTGTTTTTATGTTAAAATAATTAACTTCATAATTTTGATGAAGAAAATCCATTTCAATTCAATTTTTTTTCATCAAAATGATGATTTTCATTTTCATCTATCAACAAACTTTTTGAATTGTAGTGGCATGGTCGGTCAACTGATAAGTTGTATGGCTGATTACAGGTAAAGCAATAACTTCTATTTGACAGTTGCGTGTACTCTGGGTGTGGAATACCTTAATTTTATGGGGAACATCCTGTCCATGTGTAATACTTAATATCTTCCAACAGATGACATTACACAAATTTTTCTTCTGTTAAATGAATGATTTGTATATCATCATAATTTTCTATTTATAAAAACCACATTTTGGTATAATAATTATTACCATATCAACATTGAATATTATGAATGTAGAATGAAATATGTCTGTAGTATGATTGGTTTGAATCATTTAATTTATAAGATTTAGGAATCAAAATTTGTAATTATTTAAAAACCCACATTGAAATTGTTTTATATCAACACACCCACATTTGAATTATTTTATACTTTAGATTTCATAGCCATATTTGCATTTGTAAAAATATTTATATACCCAAATTTTCAATTATTTTACATGCCCAACTTTTATTTTTGTTGTAAAGAAGTGTAACTTGAAATAACAGTATATCATATAAAGAGAAATAAAGATTAAAGTTATATTATGAATATTGGTCATGATTTGTAAAACTCAAACCTGTCAAGTAAATTTAAGACACGATTCAAAATGTTCAGAATATGTCAAGCCATACTGAGAAAAAATAAGAATGTCGAGAATATGTCGAGAAATTTCAAGACAGTATTCAAATGTCAAGAATTTGTCAAGAAATTTTAAGACCATATTCAGAATGTCGAGAATATGTCGAGTAAATTTCATACAAATTTAATATAAATGAGAATTTGTCAAGAAAAATTAAGACACAAGTCATACTTTTGGAGAATGTCGAGTAAAAGTTCATGCAAATTAAGACAAAAACTGGTCTTTTCAGACTTTTAGACTTTTGTAGTGTATGGTTGCTAGCTACTGCATCATTTGGTATTTTGTGGTGAGTTGTCTCATGGGCAATCCTACCACATCTCCTTTCTTTTATATGACATGTGTCACCTGCTGTCTCAGTCTCTTATATAATCATAAAAGACAAAAATAAGACATTAAACAAAGTTATTTTCATCAGTGGAGAAAAATGTGAAGAAAATTTAAGTTTATTCAACAAACTGAAAAAAAGTACTGGCATACAGGAAATATGCATCTCTCTGATCAGAAAAGTGCTCACAAGTTACCACCCATTACTATCAACCAGCTGACCAAAATGAAGTCCTTCTGGTTAGAAGAAGCTGGGAAAAATGTGACCACAATATATCTCAGACTAACTGACGAACTGTTCAGGACAGACAAGAAAAGACAAAGCTGAACTAGGCATTCATTGTATTGGCCTTGATTTAAATAAGATGTAAACTTACTTTAAATCAAAGCACTGTAAGCGCTATAGGCAGTTAACCAATCAAAGCGCGAAAGTGCTGTAAAGGCAGTTAATTACAGATTGTGTGTATTTTTAGTCAAATTATATGGTTACCTTGCATAGTAGTGTATTTATCAGTTGTGACTCTCAGTTTTTAAGATTTAGAGTTCTCTTTTGATATTGAACCAGTTTTATGGATGTTAAATTCTAAGCATTATATGAAGGTGATTGTTCTCACTTTTTTATGAACTAGTGCCATATGTCCAGTTTGTACCTTGTTTATCTATGTTTATAGTTAAATACTGTTTTATATAAGGTGGCATTTTCTTTTAATAAATACCATTTGTCAACTGCATTTTATTCAAGTTTGCAAATGTGGTTGGTTACTAGTAGTCATGGATGACAGTTGTTTCATTGGCAATCACACCACATCTCCTTATTTGTATAATAATCTATATTGAACTACGTCTGGTACAAAAAAAATGTATGTACTCCCAGCTAAACTATGATGAGAAACCTTTGACTTCTTTCTTTTATATAAACTTTTGATTTGGTACCATAGAACTATGTAAATTAATCCTGTTGAAGTTATCTTGCACTGATGAATTTGTCCATCTATCATTTTATATATGTATGATGGTATTTACCGGCTATCTTTGGATACCCCAGATTAAAGAATATGGAGAACACATGTTTATGCAACACAGGTCATGGTATAGTATGCCAACTAGAATGTTGGTATTAAATCTTAGTGCACTTTGATGTTTATGAGCAATTTGTATGACTGATTGATATAACTAGATATCATTGAGATGGGAGCCATCTCTGTGGGCCCTGCTGTGAATAATGTGTGGTAAAAAATTTGTATCTTTATCATTGGACATGAGGTTGTCAAATGAAACCAAAGTTTTTGACCTTGATCTTTGACCTTGGAAGTTGTACATAAATTATGACACACCCTCTGGTGTTGGTTTATATAGTATCAAGTATAAACTTTAATATCAAAATGGTTCTCAAGATATAGAGTGGACACGATCTTTACCATAGGACATGGGGTTGTCAACTAAAACCAAAGTTTTTGACCTTGACCTTTGACCTAGGAAGTTGTACATACATTATGACACACCCTCTGGTGTTGGTTAATATACATATCAAGTATAAACTTTGAAATCATAATGGTTCTAAAGATATAGAGTGGACACGATCTTTACCATAGGACATGGGGTTGTCAACTAAAACCAAAGTTTTTGACCTTGACCTTTGACCTAGGAAGTTGTACATACATTATGACACACCCTCTGGTGTTGGTTAATATACATATCAAGTATAAACTTTGAAATCATAATGGTTCTAAAGATATAGAGCGGACACGATCTTTACCATAGGACATGGGGTTGTCAACTAAAACCAAAGTTTTTGACCTTGACCTTTGACCTAGGAAATTGAACATACATTATGACACACCCTCTGGTGTTGGTTAATATACATGTCAAGTATAAACTTTGATATCCTAACGGTTCTCTAGATATAGAGCGGACATGATTTGTTACGGACGGATGGACGGACGGACAGACTGATCACTATAGGGCGGATGCCATTTGGCTGGGCCCTAATTAACTTGCACATAGTATATGTGTATTTCTGTGGAGTTACATATTGGATATACTAAGTATATATTTTGGCATGGATAATTGATATTGTGGCAATATTATAAAATACTTTTTATATGGATATGTTATATTAATTTTATTTGTAAACTATGGTAACATACAGACAATCTCAAAATATTATTTTAGTCTTTATAGCAATGTTAATTTAACAACGTGGTAGGAATAAACTACACTTTTTAGCAAAGTATTTCTTCATGTAAATATATAATCTTGTATTGCACATCTTAAATGATAAGTATCATTTCATAAAAACATAAACATGAAATTATAATACTGTTATTTGTGACTATTTAAGATGAGAGATATGGTAATCAATGGTTTTGTATAACAT